GGGGGGGGGGGGGGGAACACACGACCCTTGGGTTTCCAGTCTCAGCCTTTACGTCGACGAAAAACATTTCGTTGAAAATGAAGTTCTGTTGAAGAATTCTGCGGTTTTCGTTACGGAAAATGTCCAATAGAAATTGTTTTACAGAAAATTTTTTTTTCATTTTTTCCACTCGATTTTTTATCTTTTCATCGAAAAAATCAAACAATAATCTTAGGAATTTAGAGCTGAAGAGTTTTTATAAAAAATGTCTGAAAATGAAGCAAGTTGCATAGAAAAATTGAATTCTATTGATTTTTTTGCTGAGTATTTTCCTTATAATCCTTCATTGCAATTAAATAAACCATTTATTCATTTGCAATTAATGAATTATTGATTTCGGAAAATTGAACTCTATTTGAACTCAATAAATGGAAATTCATAAAAAAATGAAAAAAAAGCAAAATTATTTCTTATTTTTCCCATTTCAAATTAGTGACATTCTCATACCGACCAATAGAGGCGTACCATCGCCCCCCTCCGGCCCTCTGCCGTCTCATTGGCCCATTTGAACTCCCAACTATCCCAGGAAGAGGGGGTGAGCCAGAGTTAAAGGGTCCCAGCAGCGTGAGGATTTTGTTTGTGTATTTTTCTGCATTTAAATCCCCATAAATCAGCGAAAAATCCCCCATTTCGTGGCTGGAATAATTCAGAAGAGGAGCAGCCAACAGGGATCGATTCGATGAGTCAATAGAGAAATTTCGTGGACTTTTCGAGGCTGAAGTGGTAAATATCCGCGGAGGCAGGCGTAACGGCCGTTGAGACTCATTTCGGAGTCGAATCGTCATCCCGTGGACTCGTCTCCCTTTTCTCCTCGAGATGGGCAATTTCTCGAGTAAAATATTCCCTGAATTGGAGAACGACGGAAAGTCGAGTGTCCAGTTGCAGGTGAAGATGAGTGCTCTTGAGAAAAATCAGATGTGCACGCCTGTGATGTCGATGAAAATGTCAAATGACCCTAGGTCGGCAACTGCGGGCATCACAAGGACTCCCATCGAGGTGAGACGCCAACAATTATGCGAAAAAAAAATTATGACCAAAAGACAAATAGAATGAAAAAAATAAAAATTCATGTTGTAAAATACCTGCAGAAAATGGCTTTTTATTATTATTTATTACTATTTTATGTTATTACATGTATATTATTATTTACAGATTGCTTCGACACCCCCAAGGGCCAATAAAAAAGTCGCCAGTGCCATTCCTAAGTATCTTCGTGTCAAACAGTACTTGGAGACTAATTTAGACCTCATCTTGCCTGCAGTCACTCCTGAGAAGAGAGTCCCTGACCCACGCTCCCCAAATGTCAATCACGAACGCACTCCAATCATGGTAATTATTCTTCTTCCGTAGACCATTTCATCAATTTATTGCAATTCATTCAGGATGAACTGATTCAACATCAGGATTTTTCAAATAAAATAAGCGAAATCTTCATAATTCTCTCCCTCTTAGAAATTTTTTTAAGTCGTAACATTTTAGCAATTGTATGTTAATTCATTAAAATTTTGCAATTGATTAATCATTAAAATTTCGTAATTTCTCTTAAATGTAAAAAAAATTGTCCTAAATATTCACAAAACTCCTCTAAAAGTATCTCGATGAATTCCCCTGAATGCAAAGCAAACTAAACTAGCTTAAGCAAAAAATAGACCGAATTGAAATGAAGAATAATGAAACTAAAAACGGGAAAAATTGAATTCACAGGTGAAAACGACATCAGGATACATAAGCCCAATAGTAACTGTGCAAGAAGGTCCAGATATGTTGACCCCCGACGCCTTCGACCCCCGTTCCCCAGCCACTGCCTTCGACAGAACCCCAATCGCTCGTTCGAGGCCGTCCAACCCCCCTTCAGAGGGCTCAACCCCCAAAGACACAGCGAGCAGAATGTCATACTGTGAAACTACAGGTGAATTCAACATCCCAGAGATCCAGACGATCCCCACGTTCCCCACAATCACCATCGCAGCGTCGAAGAACCTCGAGGAGTGTATGAGAGCCTGTGACCTGGAGAATGCAGAGAGCAATCTGGATGAATGTCCAGAGGACGAGGTCCTCCACTCGGAGGAGAGCGAAGCTGAGGACCAGATCACAGTCATTCCAAACGTCAGAGGGATCCCAGAGCTCGAAGAAGAAGAGATGAAGGAGAAATCCCCTGGGGAAGAGCCCCAAGTCACCTTGGACCCCTCGAAAGTGCCTTCGAAGCCCCAAACCACAGGGGACAAAGGGCTGATTCGAGTCTGGAGGGACTCAGTGTCTCCACTGCCCCCAGCAGACCCCCAGGGAGCCCTCAGGGAGGACTCCACTCCTCCTGAAGAGGTAATGATAGAGTTTGATGATGAAACTGTTGTGAAATCATCGCAGCCTAACGCCAGCAAGCCAATTGTCAGACTAGACGACAAGTCGAAGCTTCAGATCGTCAATAAACAGATCAAAAAGATCCAGACGAGCAAGAAGGAGGTGAAGGGAGTCTTCGAGGACGTCAACATCGACGCTGGCAAGAGCAGGACCCCCCTGGCCTGCAGGTCCAACCACAAATCAGGAAATCCCAGTAAATCCCCGCAGCAGGTGCTGAGGGCGAAAGGACTCTCCACCAAACCTCGACAGCAGGAGAACACTCCGCCCAACACCAAGAGGTTCAGGACCAAGGTCAAGGGCAACGGGACTCAGTGGGACCCTGACATGACGGTTATCATTTAAATTTGGGGGTGAGGTAGGGGGAGAGTCAGGAATTTTTTGAGTGCTGGGGATTTGAGTTCATATTGAGTGTTTTTTAGGGTTTCTTTTAGGAATTTAAAGCTCCTGAGGAGCACGACTTCGATAGTTATTCTTTAAATTAAAAAAAATATTATGTCTGGGCAAAATGTCATCTTTTGGATGATAGTCGAAGAGATACCTCAAATTTATCAAAAAGTTATCGAACAGACCGACTTAGCCAAAGATGACATTTTGCACAGACATAAGACAGTTTTTTTTGGAGATCTTAAAGGTAACTTTTGAAATTGTGCTCCTTGGGGTGGGGAATTTAGAATTAATTAGTGGCATTGGCGCAATTTCTCGTGGGGAATCAGTGAGTGCCACTGTGTGACTGAATTTAAACGGTTAAATTGTAATAAATAGTGTATTTTTAATACGAACAGCATTATTCATGTTTTTAATGCAATCCTCGTATTTTTAGTAGTGTTGTTTGCATCTCACATCTTCGAATAAATAATTATAAAAATAATTGGTGCTGAATTAATTTCTCTGCATCGCTTCGCGAATTGATGATTTTACTGAGACGATTGAAGCTTGCAGGTCGTCACTGGAGCTTATCAATTTAGTTGTACTGCAGAAAAAAATTAATTGCGTTAAAAGTGACAGCAGTGGGGAATGAATTCATGAAGCAATTACCTAGGATTTTTCATGACAATTCGTTTCCTCTTGTCATCAGAATGGGGTAGTAATTTGATTGTTATTCCACTGTCCACTTTCTTCACAACTGGAACGACTTTCCTCTCCTCTCGCAGGGTCTCGAAGTGAGGCAGCTTCTTTGTGTCAATTAATTTTGGTCGAACTTGTTTGATGTTATCCCTGATGACGTGTCCTTTGTAGTTCACTTGTTTATCGGATTTTATCCTTTTATTGGGGGGCAGACTGGGCTCTGAGACTGGCCGAGGGTCTATCGACCTTGGGATTCCGTCGTTTATAGAGGCGAACGACTCGTTAGGGTACTGATGGGACAGTCTGTCTTCTGTCAATGGAAGAGTTGGGTATTTCTTCTGTCTGTGGTATTGCTCTCTGCAAAAAAATAATGCAGTAAAAACAATGCGCGCGAAAATTCAATTAAAAACCCGAGTTGAAAACCCGAGTTTGTAGCAAGGATGTCAGACAAGATATGAATGTTTTTTTGGGCTCAAACGAAAGAGCGGGTCGAGAAATGGCGTGCTAGGGTCTCTAAAGATGGTTTTGAACCAGGGGAGACTCCTAGACCCCACTCGACAATGTTGTCACAATTGCGCTTTGCAATTGAAAATAGACATCATCTTTAGAGACATTTGTCATCTTTAAAGACTTCTACACGCCATTTTTCGAGCCGCTCTTTCATTTGAGCCAAAAAAAACATTCATATCTTGTCTGACATCTCTGTTACAAACTCTGGTCATCAACTCTGGTTTTCAGTTGAAATTGGAATTGTTAATTTACACAATAATAGGATTGCATTGACGATTTTTTCTTAACTCGCAAAAATCTTCAAACAATTTGCTATCGATTGGTGATAAAATTTTTTGGAAATAATGAAATAGAGGGGATAACGCCTTTTTTTTCAGAGGTGATTTTTCAAGAATTTATTTTTTAAAAAAGTACTAACTAGCAAATGTTTTTTATTAGCTCGCAATTTTCTTCAAAACTACTTCAATGAGAAAAAAAATAAAAATTTGGAATATCTATACATGAGGGGCTAATTGATCGGATCTGACATTTCGAGGTAATTCGAGAAGTTTCTTGAAATTTCGAAAAAATGTAAGGAGTTTCTAGAAATTTCGAGGAAATTCAGGGAGTTTCTAGAGAATTCGAGGAAATTCAGGGAGTTTCTAGAAAATTTGAGGAGATACAAAGAGTTTCTAGGAAATGCGAGAAAGAAGGAAAGACCATGGACGTATCCACGTACAATTACAGCCCTGCAATTTTTCATTTTTTTATATCAATTTTTCTCATACCTAGGGACAAACTTATCCCTTTCCACACTCGTGGGGTCTTCCTTGTGCCTCCTAATCCTCACGACAACGTCTTTCTGTCTCTGAATCAGTTTCCTTCGCGTTTCAGCGAGACTTTCCAATTCTGGGGCGTAACACACGTGGAGGACTCCTCCATAAAAGTTCTTGTTGTCCACCAATCGTTTTGCAATTCTGTGAAAAATCCAAATGGAAACGAGGGCCAAAGGGAATTAGCAGAGAGGAGTTGGATTTAGAGGTGTTTTATCGCTATACCTGGCACTCTGGATTCTCTCAAACTGCACGTGAAAGCTCTCAGTGAACTCTTCAGCTGGATACTCAATAAGCAATTCACATTTTTTAACGTCACCGTAAGGTGAAAGCAATTTCTTGAGCTCTTCGATTAGGTTTATTTTGGGCACACCACATACTATTAAATGTACGGATTCATCGTTGATTGTGTAAACCTGTTAATTAGATCTGGATTGTCAAGGAAACGTCGAATTCGAGAATAGAAAGTGATGAGTTGGAGTTTTTGTTGGAAATTTTTATTTTTCATCAACTTTAATGTAGTTGTGGTGTCGACATCAATGCAACTGATTCTATTGAGGCATTTTCTATAGAAATTCCTTGGTTCAAATGTTCAAATTTTTTTCTTTAATTTTTTTAATGAAAAGAGGAGAAAAATAGGGGGGAAAAATAGCCTGAGAAAAATCATGTTGAGGAATTCCGATGGAAAATGTCTCAATAGAAAAGAAAACAGAGAAAAATGCAATTCTAGTTTTTTATGTGTGAAATAGTTTCTATTGGGCATCTTCTATAAAAAACCCGCAGGGAGGCTGCGGAATTTTCAAATAGGGTCCACCAGGAACCGGTAAAATCTCGAATAGAAGTTCAATAGAAATTCAACAGAATTTCCTATTCAATTCGCTGGTTTTTTCCATAAATTTTTGCGCGTGTGACTTCTCACGATTTTAAGCTGCTCCAAAAATGTCCCAATAAAGACAGAAATTGAAGAATTCTTTACATTCCGTTAAATATTCAATTGTCTCAGTAACTGCTAGTGACTTTGGGGCAATTTCAAGCGAAATTATTCCACATAAAAGAAATTTCCGACAAGAAATGTCTGCGACGTCGCCTCCTAAATCACTGCTCCACCAGAAAAAATCCATAATCAACAAAAAAATTTATGTTCCTTCCCCTCAATAAATCACCCAACACAATTTTCCCTCCCCCTCCCATAAGTCGTCAATCCTTAATTTTCAAAGTAGGATACAATGCTACCTTGACCGCGGTGAGCCTCTTCCCCTGTCTGTAAGCCGGTCTGGTCCTGCACAACTCCTGCTGCACGTGGTGCGGCATCATCCTGACCCCTTTGGGCCCCTCGTCCCCCATGATCCCTCTAAAATCCCCAACGTCTTCACTTCAATCTCGGCAATCGCCTTTCTCCTACGTGAACCATAAAGTTCAAGACCATAAAAATCAAGCTCTCACACGCCCCTCAACCCTTTAATCCACAGGTAATGCCTCGACAATTGTTTACGACTTCCAGGAAGATCTACGTGCACACACAATTACCTCGTATCCCTGAACATGTCGTTCCCCACTCGCCCCCCCACCATCTCGCGGCGTAATCAGAGCTCGACCAATCACGGATCTCCGAACTAGGGATGCTCGTTACGACTCGATCATCGAGGGGTATCGATACTCAATTCCCCGACAATCGATACTTCAATCCCGATATCAATATTTGGTCGAAGTTAATTTTTGATTTTTTTTTGCTCGTGAAATTTCAAAAAAAGAACAATTTTTCAAATTACGTGATCGAATTTAAATCGATATTTTCAATATCGAAATTGTTATGTGCAATATATCGATATATATCAATTCCCACCCTGCGATTTTGGTCGATTCGATTCGAGTTTTTTTTTGGAAGGGAAATTTCAAATACGAACGATTTTTCAAATTCTGTGATTGGCTTTAAATCGATGATTTCACGATCGACGTTTTTATGTGCGATATATCGACATGTGTCAACTCTGCAGGTGACGATGACTATCGATTCATCATATCGACTGAAAGATCGAGCATTTCTCCTTCAATTCCCCTCGCTCCAATCGAAGCAGAGCTGTCCCTGTGGTGGGGGTAGAGGGGCAATAGTAGTGGTGTGGGTTTTCATACCCCTGGCATTTTCGGTGTGACACTTAGGCTCACGAAAAAAAACCGCCCAATAATTTCACAAGTAACAAATAAACCCGCCTCGTGTTGACGAAATCACGTGAATAACTTGTGATCCAACCAGCCAGTTCTATTTATTCAACAGTCAATTGGATGATGACGATGATTATAGTGCCAATGGGGTGGATTGAACGGACTAGATGTGTTAATTGTGAACGTGGTTAGCGACCGGCGCGAAAATGGCAATCTCTAGTTGGATGATTTGGGGTAGAAACCTACGCACCAACAGATCACAACGTCGTGAGTTTACTGCGTCTGATTGTTGCATTGATTTCGGCTGAATTATTCGCTTTTTATTTACCACAGGCTTTTCTTTCAGATCGCCAGGACCACGAGAACAGTCACATTCAGCTTGATCTGTCAAAAGGTTAGTGCCCTAACCTCAAACCCTCCCTCGGGGATCGTTTCTTCTGGCTGGAGAGCATCCTCGAGGTGGAAATTAAGCTCTCACCGGCAATTGTCATATTTTTTATTCATCGTTTCCAGATTTTTTTCATTTCATGTCTTGAATATTTGAGATTTTCTCAAAAATACTCGTAAGAGCTGTTTACCATCCCTATAAAAACCTAGAGTTGATTTCATTTTATACCCGGAAATGTTTATAAAATTACGATTTTAAATAAAAATGAAAAATTTCATTTTTTTTCAATTTTTTCTTCAAAATTATGAATGTGAAATTCTGCCAAATTTCCATTAAACATCTATTGGAAATGTCACCAGTTTCATCAAAGTACATTCAACAGAATCTATTTCACAGAAAAGAAAGAATTTCATGTCAACACTTCCTCTAGAACATGTCCCCTGAACATTTCTGTCAAAAAAAAATTGCAAGTTCTCCAGAACCCCCTAGAATAGTCCCCCAAATCCCCAGGTCTTTCCCCAATTGAATTTCTCCGGGTCAGCCTGAAAGCCCCATCCTCACGCTCTCGCCCCGTTAATCTTCCAGACCTGAAAGACAACATCAAAGAAGTCCTGACGAACATCTGCCTCCGCCACGGCGTGTCCAGCGTGAAGAAGCTAGGCTACCTAAACGCGATAGTCCGCCTAGTAACGGAGAATGACTCCTCAGACTACGGTCTCACCCCCGAAGAGTTATTCTGCTGCCTGCGAGTGGGTCTCATCCAGGAGGCGACGCAGGTGCGAGCAGCAGCCCTCCGCTCAATCAGATACCTCCTCAAGAAGCAGGAGGACGTGCTCACCCTCAACAAGCTCCAATACCCCTACTTCATCGCTCGCAGCATGGACATCAACCTGAGAAACGACATGGAGCGAATGCAAGCATTGCGTTTAGTCCGTCGAATCCTAGTCCTGGCCCCGAGGCACTTCAGCCCAGTTCTCGCGCGTTCCCTCATCAGCCTGACGAACGGAGGAGTCGAGGAGAAGGACCGAACATTCCGGGCGTTCCTGGCGACCCTCTGCGAGCTGGGAGTCCTGAATTCAGCCCTTCTAATCAGCTGTGGAGGTGTGGGGACCCTGGCGAGATCAGCGACCACAGGGCTGTCTCCAGCGATGGTGGAGTCGGTGATAGGCGTCCTCCTGCGCCTCCTGGGTAGCCCTGAGACCAGGAGTAGCGTCTCCCTGCTCTGCCTGGCAGCCCCCTACTGCGAGCTCCACTCATCCCTGAACGAGCGCTCGAGGGAGAGCAGAGAGAGCAGATTCGCAGCCAGCAAACTGGCCCTGCTGAGCGTCCTCAGGTCGTACTCAGGTGTCCTGAACTTCTGCAATCCCCATGACAACTCAGGGCTCAAGGCAATCGCCGACATTCTCTACGTGGAGCAGCTGGAGGTTCGTGGCGCCGTCCTGGAGCTCCTCTACGAGCTCCTGGGACTGCCCCTCCCCATCTGGACTGACGAGCCTGACGTCGCCCTGGCAGCGGTCGACCCCAGTCGCCCCAAGGACAACTGGAGGCTCTCCGAAGGCTTCGTCGCAGCAGAGGGACGCTCCATCCTCCCTCCGCTGGCCTCACACTGTCCAAATATCACTGAACTTCATCTAGCACTTTTGGTTTACGTTCTTCTTGAGTGCGGCCTGCACCGGGCACTCGCCGAGACAATCGTCACGTCTGACACCTTCATATCTGTCAGAGCTGCTGTCCTCCTCGGGGCCCTCCTTCATCTAGCTCATTCACTGCTTCCACCAGACGTCTGTGATCTCACTCCACCACTTCCTAATTTATTGGAGCACGCCAGTGTGGGGAGGCATCAAGCACTAGCTGCTGTGGCCATTCTGGGGAGAATGCACTCGATGATGAGGAGGAGACCTGCACCCTCCAGCCTCTTTCTGGATAGGATTCTGCAGGCTGGCACTTGGATGAGGCCGTCGGCCCCCAGACGACAGAGGACCTCCAGCAGAAATTGGCTGAGGCGAGAGTCTCCAACGACTCCACTGCTGAAAGACGCTCAAGTGCTGAGCTCCAAGGACGCCCTCGCCTGGAACTGGCCGGTGATAAGGTCAATCCTGCGGTCGAGGGAGGACTCGCTGAGGATCTTCCACGACTCTGACCACAGACTGTTCATAAAACGACTCGTCAGGTACTTCAAGCCATCCTCCAACAGGTACAGCAGGGTTGAGTTGGGAACCAGTGTGACTCTTGCCAGGGAGGCGACTCTGGCCGGCTGTGACCTGGTGAATTGCCTCCTGGAGATCCAGGAGCCCGAGGGGACGAGACTGCTGAACGAACTCATCGGCGACATTGCCGAACAGATATCGGAGATTACGACTCAACCGTCTGCCCACGACTGTCTGTTTTCCCCCAGGCACATGACCACCACCTGCTGTCAAAAGTACTTCCTCTTCCTGGGGCAGCTGAGCCAATCCGCCAAGGGAACTGTCATTCTCAAGGCCTTCAATCTCCTCGAGAAGATGGAGGATCTTGCGATTGCTACCAATCACGACTGCTACGTGAAGCTGATAATATCGAGTTTGGATTACACTAGGGAGGGCCCCAACAGGAAGGTTTTGAGTAAAATCATATCATCGGGACTGGAGCAGACCCGCCTGTACGCCACGCAGTTCCTGAGGCTCATCCTGCGAGCGAGGATGAACGACGCCTCCCAGTGGGCACTGACGCTTTTAACTGGAAGACTCTCAGACGACAGTAGGACGGTGGCTCTGGCAGCTCTGGAGGCACTCCACGAGGCCAGTGAGGAGCCGGAGTACCTCGAGATCTTTTTGAATCAGGGGGGGCTCAACAGGGCCTGGGACAAGTGGCTCGAGCACCTTGGGGACCGTGGCTACCTCCTCAACATCAGGTTGTACTCCCTTCGTGCTGGTTTTACGAGACTTCCATCGCCCGTTGAGGAGCTCGAGAGGTGGGTGAAGCCTGGGGGTTTTGCCGAGAGGTACGTGGGCCTCATCGAGGGGGAGATCCACGACTCCTTCACCAGGAGGCAGCGAGGGGAGAACGGTAGCTACTTGAGGAGGCAGAGTAGCATGCTGGTGCTGCCCAGGGACGTCTTCATCCCCCCTCATCTCCTGGGACAGCTGGTGCAGCACGAATTGGGAATGCAATTGCTGACGAGAAGGAACGTCGTTCAGAGACTAGCGAGGACAGTCCAGAGGTTCATCCTGGACTTGGCTGGGACCGACACCGAATCAAATTCAAAAGCCACGAAGAGCAGTAGATCGGGGTTCGAGGAGACACACTTCATGTCTGAGGAGTCTGGCCCTGAGGAGGCCCCAGAGCCCAGCAGATTGGAGACGATAATCGACGCCGAGGTGATGGAGACTGTCCCCAGATCCCTCAGACAGGACTCCCTGGTCAACGACTCCCAGAGGACGACCCCAGAGAAAATAGCTGACGATCGGGACGCTGGGGGCCCTGACGAGAGGATTCTCACGGTGAAGGCTGCCCTCTGGAGCTCCGGACACTACGGTACGTCACCAGCTGGCGTCGAGCAGCTCAAGCACCACAAACTCGTCGAGATGATGACCAACCTAGCCGAGAGCTGTCAGTACTACGCTGTCAGGGCCACTGCCATGTACTCACTCAGCTTGATCAGCACCACTAGAGCTGGGGCTGATGTGCTCGCCCTCTACGACTGGCCCTGCGTCAGGTACAGGCGAGGCGACTACTGGCCCATTGTCCAGCCGACCCAGCAGTACTCACTCCCCAGTCCTGTTCCCATTCAGAAGCACCACAGAAGTCTCAGTGATGGCAAGCCCGACCTGCCAGATCCCATCGTCAGGCGGACCAGAAACAGATCGGAAAGTGCTGCCACTGACATCGAAGCCAAGAGACTCGCATTCCCCGAGAGGGGAGAGACACCCAGTCCTGTGTCGAGTGTTCAGAGGCTCAGCCAACAGGACGCCGAGGGATATGCCAAACTCAGAAAGTACCAGATGCACAGGAGGCCCAGCTTCTCACACAGCAGCCTGGAAATGTACAGCTCCGATGGACGACTCTCACTTCAGAGTCTCTCGGAATTCGAATCGTCCAGGAGTTGGACTACTGATAATGCCAATTCGTTAACACCACCTGCTGTTGCTACAAGGGAGGAGGATCCTGGGGACACTTGTTACATGGGAATTTGTCTACCGAAAAATTTGCAGATGATATTTCCGGAGAATGTTAACAGGGGCTCGACTGTCTCTGAGACATTCAGCAGGTGTGAGGGGGATAATAGTCAGGGGGATGAGGAGGAGAGCTCAGAGGGTGAGAATGCAGATCATGGGAGAATTTGTCTGGTGTGTTATAAGGGGAGAAACAGGTGGGATGACGAGGTCAGCGAGGCTGATGCCAAAATTCGAAAGTGAGGGCACATTATTTCTTATTGGATTATACTTTATTTTTTCCATTTTTTCAAATTAATAATAATAATAATTTTATTATTATTCATTACAACTCATTCTTATTTATTTATTATTACTTAATAATATTATTAATAATAATTTCATTATTATTATTATTATTATTAATAATGAAATAATAATGAAATTATTATTATTATTATTATTATTATTGTTATTATTATTGTTATTGGTATTATTAGGAAACTAGATACAATGAATGAGAATTTGAGATGATTCCAAAAATAGATTTAATTTCTATAAATAAATTTTTCATTATTTGAGGAAATTGGGTTTATATGAGTTTTTTTGTTGTTCCAGAGAGACTTTGAGACATGCTCAGAGACTATCCAACCCTGTTTGGTACCGCCACAGTCGACAGGCGTTATTGAGACTCAGGCAGAGATATCCTGAGAAATTTCAAGTGAGTTTTTTATTTATTTTTAATTGGGAATTAAAAACGTGTGTTTTTTTTAATTTGGGAAAACCGAAAAATATGACGGATTTAATTAATTAAATTTATCATGGTTTGTTAGTGCAGGTAATTGAATTCTGAATGAAATTAAACTGAATTGAAATTCATTAAACTTTTTTTTCAAAAAATTCAACAGATAAGCAAAAGTGTCAAAATTTTTTCTAAATCCTCTCATTCCCTCGATTAAAAAAAAAGAAATAAATGGTTGTTTTTTTTCTCATTCCCTGCACTCAGTCAAAAAAAAAAATTTTCTCTACTTTATACTAATTGTTGATTCCCCAGGACACTTGTCTATTCTCCGAAGTAGCTTCCCGCCTAGGGAGTGGAACGTACAGACTCCAAGCCCGTCGTTTCCTCCAGGAGCTGTTCCTGGACGCACCCTTCGACGTTCTTTACCTAGAGCCAATGAAGATCCTTCACATGCCCATCGGCACCGAGGAGAACCTAGCCCAGCCGACCCCCGCAGTCCTCCCCAGCAGCGATCTGAGCATAAGCCCCTCGAAGAGACGAGTCAATGGCAGACTGACGATACCCGAGGTCGAGTCACCCTCGTCAACGACCTCCGAGCTTGCTAGTGAGACGAGGGACAATGGTGGACGTTTAAAGTCCCCAGAGGCTCCCGATAAAACTGAAAAACTCAGCGACGAGAAGATAATAGCAGAAATACTGAAGCCTGCTGAGAGACTTAGGATATCAAAGAGTTCCGATAATAAATTATTAAAAGTTACTGGTACAAACACTGCCATCAGCCTTGATTAGTACTCCAATTTATGAATTGATAATGTGTAAATATTTTATATTAATGAGAGATGAAGATAATTATTGAATTATATTAAATAAAGGAAAGAATTCAGACACTGCCAGCAATATTTTTGGATCAGTCTGTTCATTTGACACTTCAAGGAAGAATTTTACTGAAAAATCGAATTCGCTTTTTAATACAAAACTTATTCTATTGAGGTATGTTCTATAGAAATTCTTCGGCTCAATTTTTCTGTTTTTTATTTGATTTTTTTATGAACGGAGAAGAAAAATAAAGTAGAAAACCCCTAATAAAAATCGAGTCGAGGAATTTGTGTAGAAAAGGTCTCAATCGAAATCCAACAGAATGTTTTATCGAATTCGCCAGTTTCTCCATGACGCATTTTCAAAAAGAGAGGGTAATGAAATTCCCATCACCACGAATTACATTGTTCATAATACAAGATTGATCCACTCCAATTCTTTCACCTTGAGCAAAATCATCAGATTAATAGTTGCGAATTCACACGATTACGTAATATTTGCTTGAGATATTCCCCCTCTACGTATCGCGTATCAGCTGCGCCTGGAAATTATCACGAAAATACAGAGTGAAAGAGAGTGTGTGCAGTATGGCGTTGAAGCTCATTCTGGAGAGTCGGAATTATTCGGTTGGGGCCATGGGAATAGCGAAGAAATGGGTTGTCGTTAAGCATTTTGAAGGAGAGCCCAAGCCATCGGACTTGAAGATCGTTGAGGAAGAACTGCCGCCGATAAAGGATGGAGGTCATGCAAACGACGTTATTTATTCATTTATTTATTCATTCATTCATTCATTTACTTATTTATTTATCCATTTATTTTTTATCATGCATTCACACCCCACAGCATAAAAAATCAGATGATTGATTTGAATATTCAGCGGAGCGATAGAATGCCAAGTTCCGAAGGAAAATGTCTAGATTTGAAGTAGAAAAAAAATTATGAGGATTTTTTAAATGGATCTGTCGCTGCATTAAAACGTTTTAATGCCTTTTTGCATTTTTACATTGAAGAAGGGAATTTATACAGCAGTTCACAACCTTGTGACGTTATAGGAAATGATTGGATGGGATTTGAATGGGTGGGAGGGGAACCGGGGTTATTCTCAATATGAAAAACAGAAAATTTTTACTGAAAAAAAGTGGATTGAGGGAGTCTTCCCTCAAAACCACATTTCACATTATAAAAATAATTCGTAAAATAACTCATAAATGTTTTATGAATTCAGTAGCGAAGTGGTAAAGCGGTAGAAGTAAACTTTGACTATCGACCAGTTTTCAATGAATATCTCGGAATGTAAGGGAGATAGTAAAATTTTTGTTAGAACCTTTTTTATAGAGCGGATTGAGTGCTGCAAAAAATGTAATTACAAAAATTTCACCATCTCCCTTAGATTCGGACATATTTTTCAAAAACTCAACTGCGAAATAAGTCGACTCAAACAGTTTTACCATTTCGCTACTGAATTTATCTTTATGATATTTATTTATGTGAGTTCAATGATTCCGCTCTGTTTTTATAATTGTTCTTATTATTGTAGAGTATCTGACTCAAGCAGAATACATATCAGTCGATCCCTACCAGCGCAGATACATCACGAAGTTCCCCGTAGGAATAACGATGATTGGCTCTCAGGTCGCGCGGATAATTGAATCGAAGAATCCGGATTATCCGGTGGGGAAGAGAGTCGTTGGATGGCTGGGGTGGAGGACCCACACTATTCTCGATGGAAAGGAATTCTCTGGCGCCGCTCTTGTCAATCAAATTCCGTACATTCTTCCCGAGTTGGGGGGCCTCCCCCCGTCGCTTGCACTGGGGGTTGCGGGGATGCCAGGGTATGCATCTGAATTAGCGAATACGATTGTGCAGTGGCGAGGGACAATTTTTATTTGACAACCAGCTGGGGCCCCCGGCCTTACCCGGGCAGCTGTTTTTTCTGCAGCTTATTTTTGAATTGAAAATGATTTTTTAATTCTTTCTTTCCACGGAGAGAAAAATTCTAAAAATTACAAAAAAAAAAAACGTAAACATTACTTTTCGAAACGTAATTCGCGAGCGAAGTAAAATTCAATAAAAAGTGAGTCGGAACCGAAATTGTGCGAATCGCCACGTAAATTCTACGATTTGTTTCGTACAAATTAACCGCCCGTCTGATGACTCACCGCTGTGGGGGCAACAAGTCGTTCTGTAATTTTTCCCCAACGATTGAGAAATTTTACGGAACGGAACGTAGAAATAACTCACCGGATTCATAAAAATTGTTGAACGTTCAAGGATTTTTGATTTTGGAGGCACAATAAGTCGGCAAGTTTCTGTAAGATTTTACTTCCTCGAGAAAAATTACGTGACAATTTCGTTCTTTGTTCTCTTCCTATCCTATAAAAATTGGCGGAAAACGATTCCCCCCTGCAGATTACGTGAATTTTTCGGTAATTTTTACTGAATATTTCTCTCCGTGTGGTGGTTTACACGGGGAAAGAAAAAAATAAAAATCTAGCTTCCCAATTTTAATAAAATTTATTTTGTGACTCATTCTCAAGTATTCCTATAACAGAATCATGAATTAAGATGTTAGCTCTTAATTCTGGAATTCGCTTCAAATTTTTTGCCATTTCCTCATCAAATCCATTTTTGCTTCCGAATGAAAGTAAATTTGTAAACTATTTGCAATAGTTTAAATCTAACATTTGGCTTTTTGCGTTATATCAAGCAATTCCAAAAAAATTTCTCATTCATAAAAGCCGTCTCTTCCGTTAAAATTTAAATTTAGAATTTAGTCCTTCGGGAATTTTTCTGATTCGAGTGATTTTTTGTCAATTTCATGAAGAAATACTGCATATTTCGGCCTGCTGGAGGCATGCAATCCCAAGGCAGGTGAGACCCTAGTGGTGACTGGAGCTGCTGGAGCCGTCGGCTCCCACGCCGGGCAAATCGGGAAGATAAAGGGCATGAGAGTGATCGGAATAGCCGGATCCGACGAGAAATGTCGATGGCTGACTGAAGAACTGGGCTTCGACCATGCGATAAATTACAAAACCGGAAATGTCGGGGAGGAACTGAGGAAAGCAGCTCCAGAAGGCGTTGATTGCTTCTTCGACAATGTGAGCACGCACAAAAAATTTTCATTTCCTTGAAGAATTCCGGAGTTTTACTGCGCATTTTTTAATGAATGAATTGAATTCAATGAATTGAATGAATGAATTACATGAATTTTCCAAATATTTTCTACTCTATTTTTCATCCCTCTTTATCTAAAAAAAAAAATCAGATAAAAAATTTGAACAATTAAAAATTGAATATTTCCATTTCGAAAAATGCATAAAGAATTAAATAAAAAATACAGAAATGAATAGATTAATGATCTGATGATGTCGACAGGTGGGTGGACAGATATCCAGCACAATCATCTACCAGATGAAGCTGATGGGGCGTGTCTCGGTGGTCGGCAGTATTTCTTCCTACAACGACGACGAGAGGGACATCGCGACCCTTCCGAAGGCGACGATAATCCAACCTGGCCTGGTGACGGGCCAACTGACGGTCCGAGGGGTTCGCGTGGTCTACTGGCTCGACCGCTGGATGGAGGGCATCAGCCAGAACCTCCAGTGGATTAAAGAGGGAAAGCTCAAGTACAGGGAGACCGTCACTGATGGATTTGAAAGCACGTTCAAAGCCTTCACTGGAATGTTGAAAGGAGAAAACGTGGGGAAAGCCATTGTTAGAGTTTGAAAAGCCTCTCTAAATGAGGAAAATTAATTGTTCATCGTTTCTGTGTTTATATCTTTGGAAATAAAAAAATATTTTGGATAATTCGGATTCAGATTATTTTGCAATATTTAAAGAAACTTGTACCTCTAATCATTACGGCACCCGATGGGGAAAGTCGGCAAAGTTTCAGACTGCTGAGGAACATGGTTAATTTATTATGAATTTTTGAAAAAGTGGTCATTTAACCCGTGATCTTATGGAAATCACAAAAAAAATTGCAAAACCCAAGGAAAAAAAGCAGCCAAAGTTATGAAACTTTAGACCCATTTAGAACATGTGATCAATGATTTTTTGAGTGAAAAAGATTGTCCTAGGAGCATTGTTTATTGATAATAGCAAAAAAAGTACTGAAAAATGAAATTTCTGCGCACGCAGCCCAAACGAGCAGCAAATTCGGAGGGGGTAGCGCGGTCAATTTAAACGTCTCTTGAGAGAGAGCGATGAAGCGTTGTGATTGGAGCTCCCTCGAGCCAGTGGTCCAGCTCCTGGTGAAAAAAAAAACACTACCGACGATGTTGCCACTTTTTCGCAAGGATTAATATTTTTTCATTTATTAAAAAAAAATCTGAAAACCATTCAATGCGTGGAACAGATACAAATAAATTTGATTAGCTCCAAAAATAATTTTTAACCGGAGATACTCCCTGATATTGCCTCAATTTTTTTCGTTCAACGATTGGTTTTCTGCAGGAAAACAATAGAAACCCATCCGCCTCACTACATTTTTTCCTCCCTCGCCCGATTATCCTTAAACTCGCCGGGATTGGGCCTAATGGCGTCGTGAGTTCCTATTGGTTCAATCGCCTCTGATCCCCTCCACTTGCGCTATTCTCATCATTATGAGTCTCGTAAATCCACTCCAGTATCACTCTCCGTTGGTGTTTACCAGTTTGCACGTCGAACAGAAGAAGATCACTCTCCGTTGAGGATATAACCACATTGAACAGAAGAAGATCACTCTCCGTTCGTGTCCGTTCGGACTCAACCCCCAGAGCTGTGCGATTATTCACAATCAACTATTGCCTTGTTCACGGCAGAATATACAAGAATTCGTAATTATGGTGACTGCGAAGAAGTTCGTGCTGGTGAAGCACTTCGAAGGTGAGCCCAAGCCGGACGATTTGAAGCTCGAGACGGAGGAGCTGCCGGCTATTCAAGATGGAGGTAAACATGAATCTATTCACTGAATTTTGCGCGGTAACGCGCTTTCTGGAATCTAATAGACCTTTTCATTCTGAGAGTCACTAGATTTGCGGACACTTTTTTCCCATGTTAATTCCCCTAGGATTTGCGGACACTTTATCGAATTTACATATAAATCATGGTTTTTGAGTGCTTAAGTGTATATCATTGTAAAGTTCAATATTTATCAGAATTTTCCATGGTTTTTTCGGAGATTTTTTCGTTGAATGAACGAAATAAATATTTCCCCTAGATTTCCAGAATGAAAAGGTCTATTCGTCGCAATAACGGAGAGATTTGAAATCGATGAAAAAAAAACGGCAGGTCATCGATTATTCAATTATCTCGACGATATCAGGAGATTATTCTTCTGCATTGAAAAAAGTCGTGGAACATTTCGCCTTGGAATTAATTAAGAGGAAAGATAATGAGTATTTAACGAGAAATGGTAAATCGCCTGTTACGTTTCTCCTTTTCTCTAATGAATTAATTCTTTGAATTACAGAATATCTCGTCGAGGCGGAATATCTTTCAGTGGACCCTTACATGCGGCCCTACTCGGCGAGGTACCCCTTGGGGACAACGATGATTGGGTCCCAGATTGCCAAAATCATCGAGTCTAAAAATCCAGACTTTCCGGTGGGAATGAGGGTCAGTGGTTACATGGGCTGGCGGACACACACAATCGTCAACATGGAAGGGGAGCACGTGTTTGATAGTCCTCCACGGCTTCTTCCCGAAATGAAGACGCTGATGAGAATGAGATTCCTGTCGCCATCCCTCGGACTCGGGGTGATGGGCATGCCTGGGTAATCGCAATGTACCTAAATACCGAATTAAGGGTATTATGGCGGGGGCCATAGCTGGAAAAAAAGCAGAGAATTCAATGAAAATTGCTTACTTTTACACGCGGTTGACTGGGGCATCGCTAATTTTAGTGCTTTTCCTACGTTATTTATCTATCGATAACGTAGGGAATTTACAAAAATTCCCGATGCCCCATTCAACTGCGTGTAAAAGTAGCAACTTCAAAAATTATTCCCATTATTATTGTTTAAGTACGGATCTTGACATTTTGCACGCGGCTTTCTAATGGATCGAATAATCTGTTCAGAAATTTTCATTGAATTCATTGAAAAGATTATTTTGGAAAATACGAATTCTTACACCCTGTATAACAGTGTTATAAAAGGCGTAAGAATTTGATTTTTTGACAATTATCGTTAATTAAGGCCCGTGCGGATTATCTGTCGAACGCGATCTTGATTGTCTTTTTTATTTTGATAATCTGAAATGATTATAAGCGTTCGAAAGATAATCCCCCCGGGCCTTAAGGATGTTCGACACCCTTTTAGCCAAAATTGACGTTGTTTTCATTTTTCTGGCAAATTATCGATGGGAGTGACGTGAAAAAATATAACGATTTTGTGGTTTGTCATTCTTTAATGGCTCACGAAGTTGCGTAGTGGTGCGATAATTTTCATGCGTTTTTTCTACAGTTTTGTGATTCTTTTTAAAAGTTTAGAGAAAACGCAGGAAAATGTTCGCACCACCTTAAAATTTCGTCAGTCATTAAATAATGACAAAACGCAAAAACGTTATATTTTTCACGTCAATTCCATCATAAGTTTGCCAGAAAAATTGAAAAAACGTGAATTTTGGCAGAAAGGGTGTAGAACATCCTTAATTGGAATTGAAGTAGAAGTAAAGACGAACGAAACGAGTGGAGATGAGCTTTCCCCTGTGAATTCTCAGGTACACTGCCTACTTTGGCTTCTTGGAAGTCTGCAAGCCGAGGGCGGGTGAGACCCTGGTGGTGACTGGAGCAGCTGGAGCCGTCGGCTCCCACGTGGGCCAAATTGGAAGGATCATGGGATTGACAGTCATCGGAATCACTGGCTCCGATGAGAAATGCCAGTGGCTTACGGAGGAATTGCGCTTCGATCATGCCATCAACTACAAGACACAAAATGTGGAGGCTGAACTGAAGAAAGTCGCTCCCAACGGTGTTGATTGCTTTTTCGATAACGTGAGAATATAGTTCAGATTATCCTAGAATTCACATTCAGATAATTAATCGAATGTCTCTAAAACGACATCTCCTAGTAAAACAAGGGTATTTCAATTTTCTTTTTAAGGGGTAACGAATGTCGCTAATTTTCCAAATTTGGGAACAAATTTCCCGCCGAGAGTTATCGACATTTTCAAAAATCGAATCAAATTAACACGCCGAAATAATATAATTTCATTCATAAAATATTTCACCCCCAGGTGAATATCTAAATTCCCTTCTTTTCCTGACTCCAACAGGTGGGAGGAGAGATCGCCAGCACGATTATCTACCAAATGAACGCCTTCGGTCGCGTCTCGATCTGCGGAAGCATTTCAGCGTACAACAATGACGCCTCTGAGTACCCGAAGGCGACGATCATCCAGCCTGCTGCGGTTTCCAAACAACTGAAGATCGAGGGCTTCCTCGTCTGGCGGTGGGCGGACCGTTTTTCCGAGGCTTTCAAGACAAACCTCGAATGGATCCAAAAGGAACGGCTCCTGTACAGGGAGACTGTCACTGAGGGATTCGAGAACATGTTCAAGGCGTTCGCTGGAATGCTGAAAGGAGAGAATATAGGGAAAGCCATTGTTAAACCTTGAAAAACCCTTCTAAATGAAGAAAAAACTAATTTTTCATCGTTTCTATGTTCATTTTTGCCAATAAAAATTCAAATATTTTCAAATATTTGAAGAAAGTGTAAAATAATCATTTCTGCGGATCAATCTTCGTGATGATTAATTATCATCTCAATCAAAAAATTCCGGTAGCTCCTCAAACCCCCTAGACCTCTCGCTGTCACTCCAAAAATCCCTCCTCTCCCCCTCTCCATCCTCTGGTTTAATCTCCTGAAAATCCTGAGGTATGAATATTTTATCGATCGCCCTGAACAACAAATCGTCCCCCTCCACGACCTGCATCTGTGCCCACCTGGCTGCCACACCCCCATCAAAACATTTTCTAAAGCAAATGCAATGGACATGCTTCAATTTCTCATACGTAACTCTCATGAACCCCAGACGGGACAAAACAAATCTCCAGGATTTCATTATTCTCGCGTTCGCCCCCACGTGTTTAGAGTCTGGAGTGACGATGATCAGCAGTCCCCCAGGTTTCAGGATGCTGTGAGCCTTCTCACAACAGTGGAATCGTTGATCCGGGGACGGGAGGTACTCCAGGAGAAGAGAGAACACGCAGACATCGTAACTGCTACTCCCTAATTGGATCATTTCTCGATGGTCTTTTATTTCTGTTGTCCCCCCAACTCTCACGGCCAGGAAATCACACTTGAGGACTTGGTTGGAGGAGGGGGCCAGGTCTATGGGAGTCACGTCGAACCTCTCGTCATCCCCAAGGGGATTGTAGCAGCTCCCCACGTCTAGTATTTTTATTTTCGAATGGGGAGGGATGGAATGGGGATCTTCAGCTCCTGGGGGTGACGGGGGAGGCAGGCGAGGTACTGAAGACGGTCGACCCTCGATTTTAGATGAAATTGATACTTCTCGGTCGTCGTATTTACTTTTACCTCCCTCGAAGTAGTAGCTGCAGCACTGTCGTTTGATCCATTGGATTCTGCAGTGGGTGGAGGTGTTTTTGGGGAGTGGATCACTGTTCTGGGCCCAGTGGGAGGTCGCCAGCTCTCTCATGGATTCTGCGTAATTCTGGAGGTTGAAGAAGAGAATGTTTTATTAATATTTCATCATACAATGTTGGTGTGGAGAAGGGGTTGACCGAATTTTTGAGATTATTCTTTAGTAATTGGCCTCTGCGGTCATCAGTCGATTCGAATTGGCGAAATTATCAGTTGGACGTTAATAAATTCATGACACTGAAGTGGCCTATGGGGTCGTTAGCCAATTCGAATTGGCGAAATTACTAATGACCAAATGATAATTTTGTCAATTCGAATTGGCTAATGACCGCAGAGGCCAATTACTGAAGAATAATCATGCCCTGTTGGAAAAAAATGAAATTTTATGGACTGTTGATTACCAATTTTTAGGGCAGTGGCGCTGAATGCGATTTAGGGAGGAAAAAATTGGGAAATTTCAGGCTTCACTGAAAATTCAGTAAAATTAGAGAATTTTAAGGAGCATAAAGACGAGAATTCCTTAATTTATTTGAATTTTCAATCGAATATGAATTTTCAGTGTCAAGTTTCATTAAATTTTCAGTGAAACCTGAAATTTCATGGTTTTTCTCCCTAAATCGCATTCAGTGTCACTGGCCTGAAAATGTAAGAATATATTTACCAGAATTTTCTGATTTTCCATTCATTTTGAGGGAAAAATGGAGCGGAAATTTACGAAATTCTGAATTTTCAATGACAAGATTTCCTGAAATTTCAGTGGAATTGCAAAACGATAAAAATTTCCGGAATTTGGCACGGAAAATTCCGACAAAATTTTTAAAGTGTAGTGTAAAATGAATCAGTAGGGGAGGGTGGGGTAAAACAGACACTGGACTTTTTTAAAATTAGTCATAACTCAGAAACAAATTGATCAATTGAGCTCAGTTGAGGCTCGTCACAAAGGGAAAAAATTGTTCTTTGCATTAGAAAAAAAATTATTAAATTTTACCAACATTGCAACCCCTCATTAAGGTTTTAAAAAAAGGCAAAAGTGTCCGTTTTACCCCAATCTCCCCTAATTAACACGCGCGAATTTATTTATTCACTCAGGCAGCTGTTGAATACGAAATGAATAAAAATGATAACCTTCAAGTCCTTCGTTCTCGACAAATGTCGACTCCAAGCCTCCTGGGGCCCGTAGAGCTGACACTCCTGTCGCAGTCGACTGTGGGTCTCTTTTATAAAAGCCGAAAGCTTCTTGTGCTCTTCACTCGCCATTATCCCGCTTTTCCACTCGTTTTTTCAATTATTTGTCAATCCCTCATGTCAACAATCATCGCGGAATTTCAAATGAACGAAGATGTCGCTGTCCAACCGGAAGTTCAAGACAATTTCCATTTTTCGAAAAATGAAATTGTTAAAAAATTTTTGTTAAACAATTAGTTAAAGAAATGTCGATAAAAATTTCAGGAAAATTTTTAGAGTGTGAAATGTTCGAGAATTATCGAGGGAAGTGAATTCAGAGTTGTGTCGGTCGAGCTCAACTTCCGGTGACTTTCTTTCCTCTCGTTGGCCTTAGGACGCACGAGGTAAAAGTGAATTTAATTATTTTTCAGTGTTTTCAATGACTCTGGAATTATTTGCATTAATTTAATGGATCTTTAAGACTCTCGTGGAGGTTTCTATCGATAGATAATCATTTTTCTGTGGATACTTTGGTATTATCGGGGATAAATACATGTGTCAGTGACACAACCAAGCGTGGAGCACGTTCATAACTTATTTTTTACTCTTTATTCGAGAACAAATAGACCCGATAACTGTCAGGAGTGAATGTCAACTTTTTTACGTTCAAAATTATTGTAAAATAGTTGTTGAGTCGTTGGGGGATAACAGTAAATCTGGAATGAGAGTTCTAACCTCAAAAATTCATGCTTCAAGGTGCTCATCATGTCGTCCCACTTGAACTGGATGATCATCCGCAACAACAATGCTTTCCTACTCAAGAAGAGGAATATCAGCAAACCTTTCTCAACGGTACGTTTTATTAATAATATTTTTTTTCAAATTAATAATAAATTAGGGGTGGTTGGGGTAAAACGGACACTTGACTTTTTTCTTCAAAGTTAATGAGGGGTTGAAAGTATGATAAAATTTAATAATTTTTTTTTTCAATACAAAGAGCAATTCTTTCCCTTTGTAACGAGCCTAAACTGAGCTCAATTGGTACATTTGTTTCTGAGTTATGAATAATTTTAAAAAAGTCTAAAGTGTCCATTTTACCCCACCTTCCCCTATATGTTGAAATTGCGTTTTATGTAAAAATTTTAGGAGAATGCTAAGAGACCTCAGTCGTTAAAATTTTCTACAATATTTAATGACATTTAGTTTGTAATTTTCAAAATTAATGAAGATTTCATGACATCTTGCAATTATTTTGAGGATGATTCAAATTTTTCTGACATTGCCCCCTAAAACCACTGGTTTTCGACTTAATTACTCTCATGAATTCCCAAAATAATCAGTTTTTCCCATGGAATGTTTCATTTTTGCATATAAAAAATAAATAAAAATATTAGACACATTTTTTTTTTTTATCGACTTTGAAAAGGGTATGGAGACGATTTTTCCAATGAGTGCCTTTTTCCTTGTAGGAACCCAACAATCTGACAAACCTGAGCAGCTACCGTTACTCTGGGCTCGTCCACCGTAAAACGTTGGGAGTTGTCGACACCCCAGACAAGAAGGGATTCACTGTTGTCTACAAGAAGGGAAAGGTCGCCAACAAACCAGCAAAGGCCACCATCAAGCGCACCATGAAGGCTGGAGCCCGTCGTTCCCTGTGGAAACTGAAGAACCTCATCTCATCCACCAAATACAGGCGTGATCTCACCAAGGTATTTACGCATTATCAATTAATTCGTAAATTATTCAATTATTTTTATTGTATATTTTTGCCCCTCTAAATTCCCCCATTTTCGTTCATAATAGTGTGAAATAGAATTTATTACTTCAATGTAACAATGATTTTTTAAAATCAAACATTGATTAAGTAAATTGTCATTAAATCACAATGCTGAATGAATTTCGGATGAATTGTGGCGATAAATGATTGGAACCAGTTTTTAAAGTTCCCATTCAGTATAAAAATTGATTAATATCAGTCTCGTTATTCTTACATTTTATCAATAAATGTTTTTTTATTTATTTAGGCTGCCATTCGTCGTGCCAGCGCAGTCCTCAGATCCCAGAAGCCACTTCCAGCTAAGAAGACACGTGCTCCTAAAAAAACTGATTAATTCCTGAGTTTTCTCTAATAAAAATATTCTAAAGCCAATATTTTCGGAATACGTCAGCGATAGGATAGAGATGAGATCCTCAGGATAGACGGGATTTTATTGGTTTCAATTGCTCATTTTTGATGAAATTGAGTTGAATTTTTGGGGAGAATCATCTGTATTCTGTTGCGATGTGACTTAATTATTTAGTTTCATAGTTAGATGTCTTTATAAGGATGATAAGTATATTGTAGTAGATTAACGTTGAAGGTGAGACGATATTTTTTTCAACTAAATAAGACGAAAAAGGATTAATTTGATAATTAACTTAAATTTTCTTCTGTTCAGGTACCCTTGGATTATTTGGAATCGACTCTCAGAGGAAATTTTCAGGTAAATCTATTTATTTAAGAAGTATTAAAATAAATTGTAGATCAATTCAACTTTTGTGATGAATTTAGCAACCACCAAGATCTATGAATGCCATGATTTTTCTAGTATTTGCTATCTGAGTAGATAAATTACAAGGAATCACATGAATAATTCACAGGAAAGCAGAATTTCAAAGGTTTACTTTTCTGTTACAGATTCTTCGAAGACTGGAGTCTAGTTGACCTCATGTTTTGCGATGTGAATGGTGAGAATTCTTCTTTTTCTTACTCATTAACAACTTTGTCAGCATGATGATATATGCAACCACCAAGATCTATGAATGCCGTGATTTTAGTCTGTATTTGCTATCTGAAGTCACTCAACTGCAAAACAATATTTTTTCAATTTTCCGCAAATATTCAATAATTTTTTTTATTACAGATTTATCTTCTACCAGGAAAGGAACGAAGAATTTCTCCACACAATCGAGGGTAAATATCCGGAAAAATGATAATTTCAATGAATTTAAATTCTCCATTTTGCCATTCCATAAAATTCAATCCAATTGATAAAGTATTTGATAATGTAATCAATGGTGAGAATTATTCTTTTCATACTCATTAACAACTTTGTCAGCATGATGATATATGCAACCACCAAGATCTATGAATGCCGTGATTTTAGTCTGTATTTGCTATCTAAGGTCACTCAACTGCAAAACAATATTTTTTCAATTTTCCGCAAATATTCAATAATTTTTTTTATTACAGATTTATCTACTACCAGGAAAGGAGCGAAGAATTTCTCCACACAATCGAGGGTAAATATCCGGAAAAATGATAATTTTAATGAATTTAAATTCTCCATTTTGCCATTCCATAAAATTCAATCCAATTGATAAAGTATTTGATAATGTAATCAAGGGTGAGAATTATTTTTTTCATACTCATTAACAACTTTGTCAGCATGATGATATATGCAACCACCAAGATCTATGAATGCCGTGATTTTAGCCTGTATTTGCTATCTGAAGTCACTTAACTACAAAACAATATTTTTTCACATTTTTATCTTCCGCAAATATTCAATAATTTTTTTTATTACAGATCTATCTTCTACCAGGAAAGGAACGAAGAATTTCGTGAACCAATCGAGGGTAAATATCCGGAAAAATGATAATTTTAATGAATTTAAATTCTCCATTTTGTCATTCCATAAAATTCAATCCAATTGATAAAGTATTTGATAATGTAATGAATGGTGAGAATGATTTTTTTCATACTCATTAACAACTTTGTCAGCATGATGATATATGCAACCACCAAGATCTATGAATGCCGTGATTTTAGTCTGTATTTGCTATCTGAGGTCACTCAACTGCAAAACAATATTTTTTCAATTTTCCGCAAATATTCAATAATTTTTTTTATTACAGATTTATCTACTACCAGGAAAGGAGCGAAGAATTTCTCCACACAATCGAGGGTAAATATCCGGAAAAATGATAATTTTAATGAATTTAAATTCTCCATTTTGCCACTCCATAAAATTCAATCCAATTGATAAAGTATTTGATAATGTAATGAATGGTGAGAATTATTTTTTTCATACTCATTAACAACTTTGTCAGCATGATGATATATGCAACCACCAAGATCTATGAATGCCGTGATTTTAGTCTGTATTTGCTATCTGAAGTCACTTAACTACAAAACAATATTTTTTCACATTTTTATCTTCCGCAAATATTCAATAATTTTTTTTATTACAGATCTATCTTCTACCAGGAAAGGAACGAAGAATTTCATGACACAATCGAGGGTAAATATCAGTTTAGATGCTAATTTCCATGAATGTAACTCAGTATTATCACAAATGAATCGAATTGAAGTTGTAAAACCAGATGGATGATTGAATTTAGTATTTTAACGAAAGCCTTCACTGTAGACCCCACTAATCAGTGAATTCTTTCCATTACCATCAATTATGATGATTCATGCAACCACCAAGATCTCTGAAAGCCATGATTAATATATTTGCTACTCTGACCAAAGTCCCAGCCATATTCTCCAATCCCCCGTCGAATGATCGCCCTAATCCTTTCGATTTCTTCTCCAGCTGCAGCTGCAGGGCGTTGCACTGTTGCGTCACTGGACTTTCCCGGTGACTCCACCAGGTAAACTGACCTCATTGTCTCTTGTTTTTCATCATCCACTGAAGTTCAAACTCCAATGATGAAACACTCACAACCACCAAGATCTATGACTGCCGTGATTTGCACTAGTATTTGCTATCTGATGTTCTCCAAAAACTCCTCAATTCTTCTCTTGAATACATATTTTTTTTAATTCGTTTGTTTTATTCTTTCCGCTTAGGTTCAAGGATGTGTTTGAGGCGACGCAGAGGTCCATACAGAGTACAAAAGACATAAAAGAGTCGACATGTATATTTAAATTTCAATAAATGAAAATTGATGGCGAAAAATGATTTGTAATTCTTATTTTTTAAAATACATTCCTGTGAATTTTTTTAACTTCCCGAGAGGGGAAATATTGTAATGATCCCAAAAATCGATTTTCGATTTTTCATCAAATCTCGACATTTCAAGGTCTCTCCATTGATTTTCACATCTTCAGCAACATTTATGTTATTTAAAGGGTTGAGGGCTTTTTCATTTAATTAATTGACTGCTCTTGATGCATTTTTTTATGTTTAAATTTTTTTAATCTTTTCTGCCATGAAGACAATTACAAACAATAGAATTAAAAAAATGTTGTTTAAAAATTCAAGTTCTTATTTCATAAAAAAAAATCAGTAAATTGTTTCATTATTTTTAATTAGTTTTCGAAGATTTCCAAGGGCTTAAGTGAGGCTTAAAAATTTTTCGATCAGCGAATATTTCACGATTGCATCAGAGTAAAAATTACATTCTGAATTTCTCGGAGTAAAAAAAATCACGATTAAAAAACATTAAAAGAACGTTTTTTCTCATGACATTTCATCCTAAAATCTCTCGTCTCCCGTAATAAAATAAAAGAAATTAAAGGGCACTTCGCAAACGTCTAAATTGTCTCGTCAGATTTTACGACTTAATTGTCTTCAGTAGACGTCGACCACTCAAATAAATCCTCAAACTCGACAGCTTCATTTCCCCATAAAAAATGTGAATTTGGCGGTCACGAAAGAAGGCCAAATGGAGAATCCCACGTGAGTGAAGGCCGTCTCCTATGATTCACGCGTAAACTCAGTAAAAAAGGGGAAAAATAAAATGCATTTCACTCTCCTCTTGTTCTCATTTCTGGTATTTTTACGGGCGCGCGAACGCCGGGAATTTCCCCGCCTGGATTTTTTTCCTGGACCATTAGTCCAACAGGTTTCGCCACCGACAGGTCCCTCAAACATTCCCCCCCGCGCCGCAAACAAATTTCCAGCGACGAATTTACATGTCAATCAGTTCAGGGACGCAAAGTTGACGGTTCTCTCTCGAATAATTCCATACGAAGTCCAAACAGATTCATCATGCGGTTGGAGACTGTTCAATGCCCAAGCGTGTGTCACGTTTGGGCATTGAAGTCACCAAGCCACGGCGAAAAATCATAAATCTAATTAAATAGACGAGGTGGGGAATCTGAGATCATGGGGCTGATTAGTGTCCCTGTCGCATCGCTATCCCAATAAAAAATAAATTATTTCATTTTTGCTCATCATGAAGATCGCGACTTTATTGGAATTCTTCACGATTTTTTTCATCATTTAATGCAACAATTTAATATAAAATATTAGACACGTATTATTTTATTTTGATGAATGATGAAAAATCGGTTCGTTACAGGCGATTGACAATGTCTGCATTAAAGTGCAAATAATGTTCTCTGATTTTTAATCTCAAATTTTTTATTTGACGATTTCATTCAATAAAAAGTGTCAGAAAAGTCGAATTCCTGCTGCAAAATCCCGTTATCAATAACAATGGTACAATAAATCTAGTTAAATAAACGAGATAGGGAATCAGAGAATGTGGGCAGATTAATGTCGCCTATTTTATGGGACAAAATGCAAGATTCAATGTCCCTGTCTCATTGTTATCCCAATAAAAAATAGAATATTTCATTTTTGCATTTTTTCATGATGAAGATCACAACTCTATTGGAATTCTTCACGATTTTTTTAATCATTTGATGCAACAATTTAATAAAAAATATTAGACACGTATTATTTCAGTAGCGAAGCGGTAAACCGGGTAAAGTCGATTTTGACTATTGGCCAGTTATTGACGAATATCTCGGAATCTAAAAAAGATAGAAAAATTTTTGTCAGGAACTTTTTATAGCCCTTAATTGGCTTTACAAAAAAGGTTATGAGAAAAATTTTGCTATCTCTCTTAGGTTCTGAGATATTCATCAAAAACTGATCAAAAGTCAAAATCGACTTAACCCGGTTTACCGCTTCACTACTGATTTATTTTGATCGATGATGAAAAATCGGTTCGTTACAGGCGATTGACAATGTCTGCATTAAACTGCAGATAATGTTCTCTGATTTTTTATTCCCAAAAATTTCACAAAATAGAACAATATTTCAGTTGTCAAATCTGAGAAGACGAATTCTCGTTGCAAAATCCTGTTTTCAATAACAATAGTACAAAAACTTTTCTCGTATCTTGACCCCCCAGCGACTTCGAGTGCCTCGAAAAAGAAAGAAACATGCAAATTCAGCTATTGAGACGAAAGCACAAGAAAAAGCGTAAAAAAATCTCATTTCAATAACCGTTTCGGACGGCATTGACGCAGGCGGATAGACCGGAGAGGCGTCTCATTAGTATTCATATGCAATGTATTCGTCGAAATATAACGTATGCAGGCCCCCAGGAGGAAGATAAAGAGCGGAGAAAAATAAATAATAAGTTGGGAGGCGAGAGTCCGACGAATTAGGACCCTGGCCATCGCCAGGGTATAAGAGTGGACACCGAACGACGTCTAGCCATCAGTCTCTCAACGACACTCCTTGCTCACAAACCCACGAGAATGAAGGTAACTGCCTTCAGTATTTACGAAAATTGTTAATTGTGAAAGTTCCGAATTTCCTGTAACAAATCGATTTTATTCCTTTCGATTTTTGTTTCTGAAATAAAAAATTAGCTGCGCAATCGGTGATTTTGAGAGGATTTCAGACCTCGGGGAATATTTATTGGTGAAAATTTCCTCAGTTGCAACAATTTTCTTCGACATTCTCCCTTTTAATCACAAGTTATTGAGATAAATGTGAATTTTTAAATTATAAACTTTAATTTTTCATTGCAAATCGGTTGCATACGTCATTTTTAATTTCGAAATCATCTTGAGTGATGACTGATGAGTGATTTTACCGGAAAAATGTTATTTTTCAGTCGTTATTTTTCTCATCCCCAAGAGTTAATTCGTTTTCCCTTTAAATCATGTATTGAAATAAATGTAAAAAAATTGAGAAGATGGTTTCAATTGCAAAATTAGGCTGACGAGGAACGATTTCACCCGTGAAATACAATTCTTCGATCGAAATTTCCCCAGATGAAGGAAGAATTTTCCAAAGATCCCCCATTAAGAGCAAAAAATCGGCAAAAATGAAAGTTTGGACTCGTCAATTTCAAGTGAAAAGTTTAAAAACGAAACCCTGCGTAGGTCGCCTTTGTGTTGCTCGCCGTTGTAGCCGTTTCCCTGGCGAAACCCCAGGGCTACACCACGAAATACGACAACGTAGACCTGGACCAGATCCTCCGTAACGATCGCCTCCTCAACAACTACGTGAAATGCCTCTTGGACGAGGGACATTGCACCAGTGATGGAAAAGAATTGAAAGGTAAATCACCTTCTCTTTTTCTCCAACTAAAATCTCATCATAATTTACTTCAGTCGGTGCTCTCCACTTGACTAAAAACTTGAAATGTTTATTTAATAAATAAATAAATAAATAAAGAAATCAATCAATAAAAAGCAATGAATTTTAAACAATGAATTGCTGAAAATTATTTCCCAAACAATTATTGAAACATTCATGAAGATTATCTATAATTATTTTTGTGGAGAACAACGCGAATGAAAGAAAAAAATTCTCCCCAAAGTTAATGTTTCCTAAAAACAAAATTTAATAAATAAAATCAGTAGGAAGTGGTAAAACGATTTAAGTCGACTTATTTCTTAGTTGCGTTTTTCAAGAATATCTCCGAATCTAAAGGAGATAGCGAAATTTTTGTAATAACCTTTTTTCTAGAGCAAATTGAGCGCTACAAAAAAGGTTTTGACAAAAATTTCGCTATCTCCCTTCGATTCCGTGATATTCACTAAAAACTGGTCAATAGTCAAAATCGACTTGAACCGGTTTACCACTTCGCTACTAAATGAATTTCGTAATTTTTTAAAATTTAATAATCTCAATTTCAGCTTCTCTCCCCGATGCTCTCGCCACAGGCTGCACCAAATGTAGTGAAAAACAGAGGGCAGGCAGTGAGAAGGTCATCCGGTATTTGGTAAACGAGGTACGTTCACCTTCTCAAATCCCACCCACTGGTAAATAAAAAAGTCCACCTCCTGTAACGAGAAAACGAGTTATGACTCCAATTGCAATGAAACGTGTTACATGAACGCCTCTTAATTTCCCCCCTTTTCTCTCTGTCTCGTGCATACTGAAGGCTCTGAAAACTCGTTCAACTTTCACCTGCCCTAGATTGAGATCTCACGGGCTTACGATACGTCCCGGGGTTTTTCCAGTGGGCGAAAAAATAATAATTCGAAGTATGCTTTCATTGTCTCGTTATTTTGATGCTTTCAGCGGCCAAAGGTCTGGCAGAAACTCGCCGCCAAGTACGATCCGCATGACGAATACAGGGTGAAGTTCCAGGGCGAGGCCAGTGCACGGGGAATTCAGGTTTAAATTAATTGGTAATTGTTGTTAGGTGTCGTCACTTCAAAATTTTATTTCCGGAGTTTTGAGACTCCTGATGTATCGAGTGCTTTGTATGTAATTTTTTCATCTGTTGAATAAATCATTGGGGAAGACTATTCGTGATTGTTTTTTATTTTCGAGGAGATTTTTTAAAGTAAATATATGAGCGGAAAATTTCTTGCAACAATTCCACTTCAGAGGCTTTTAAACTCTCAGGGATTTTTTTTGGTGGAAAATGTTACTTTTCGTAAAATAAAGAAAACGCTTGTGACACCAACGACATGAATAAATAAAAAAAATTGTCACTTCTCGTGGGAAATTTTCTGATCTTCGGAAATTTCCTTTTATCAATTTATGAGTGGAAAATTGTTACAGAGTTACAACTCGGGCGCATTTGAAATCACAATGAAAATTGATAATTACAACTCGAACGGATTATTACATTATATTACTCCGATAAAAAATTTTATCTCCGATTTTTATTCTTTGCTATTTTTTTAATGTATTCTATCAAAATGTGAGGATAGAAATTGAATTGATGGGTATTCTTCCATTATTTGGAAAAATATATCAATTTTAAAACTTTCCGGAGACATTGAAAAATCGAAATTTTTATTTTCTTACTGATCACGTATCTCTGTTTTTTTTTCACTTTTTTCCATTGAAATTAGATCATAGAAAGGGAACATAATGATATTTTTTCGGCATTTAAAAAAAAATGAAGGAGGTAGCATAAAAAATGAAAAAAATGGAAATAGTTATATGAAAAATGTAGTACACAGAGAAATTTTTGAACAATATGTGAAAAATATATAGATCATTCAAAAAAAAGTATCAATACTCTCCGTATTATTTAACAAAATTATCTCTTCATTTGAAAATGAAAAAAACTGTTCCCACAATTTGTATATTACAATGGGATTAGAATCCAATAAATTGAATTTAATCTAACCGCAATATTTTTTTATTTCGATTAAATTAAAATGAAGAAAATTCGGTTCGATAAATTTCGATTAAATTAAAAAGGATTGAAAATACCATTTCGAGAAGTTAATGCCTAGAATGGAACTCTCATTTTAATTTCATCAACTAAATGATTTAAACCGTCAAAGAAAGGATCTGAATATCAGTCGATTGATTAATTGCGCGTTACGTCAAGTCCCTGGGGAGCGATTTTGCCCGTTTTATGTCGACATAAAATGGTAAATTTCAACCATTGACAGTCCTGGATTCGGAATACTCAACTAGGATTGGTTGAAATTTATGATTTTATGTCGACAGAAAACGAGCAAAATCGCGCTGTCGACTGGCGGTCCAAGCGATCCGTGACTACTAGCGCCGATGAGAGAGTACTAAAGTAGATTCCTGCCGTGCATGATCAGACCGAGCGCAGTGTCAAACCCGCCGGCATTAGCGACATATTATCGGACAATCTCTTCCGTTGGGAAATACGAAGACTCGAATCAGTGATTTATTCATTATCAACTCGTTATGGCAGTGGAGTTGCTCTCGGGGAGGACCTTCCTCCTGATTACTGGCGCAAGTCAGGGGATTGGCAGGCAGATCGCTGTGACATTTTCAGGATTATTGGAGAAGGGCTCGAAGGTGTTGCTCCTGGCGCGGAGCGAAAATGGCTTGAGGGAAACGGCGGATCATGTTTCCGAGCAAGTTTCTGTGGCCTTGAAGAGCGTTGATCTGTCGGTTGCCACTGCCGATCAACTGTCCGGTAATATCTCAATTTCTTTTGAACAATCGAATACAAAATTCTTCGAATAGTCCGTTCAAAGTCACTTGTTATCGAACCAATGTCAACAATTTAATATCTCGACTCGAGTGCAATGACTCCCGCATCTGTTGCAGAGATAATCAAGAACTCCGTCGATCCATCGCAATTCGATCGCTTAGTGGCTGTCCACAATGCCGGATCGATCGGCGATCTGTCGAAATTCACAACTGACATGAGTGATTTCGACGAGTGGAGGAAATATTACGATTTGAATGTTTTTTCACCGGCTGTACTCAACTCTGTTGTCATGAAATTGTTCAGAGACAATGAGAAAGTTCGAAAAGTTGTTATTAATATTACTTCACTCTGTGGGATTCAAGCGATAAAGTCAGTGGGGTATTACTGCTCCGGAAAGGCTGCGAGAGAGATGTACTTCAAGGTGATTGAAACAAAATTGACGAAAAAATATTTCATTGAAAAGTTTAACGAATTCGGATTTTATTTCTTATTTAATAGAAAAAGTCAGTAGAATTTAAATTATCTATAGGCAGTGGCTATTCGCACGCTCCTCGGTAAATTTTACCGTGGATTCACGGTAGATTCTCATTCACATCTTGTCTGACATCTCTGCTACGAACTCAGGAAAAATTTTGCGAATTCGGATTTTATTTCTTATTTAATAGAAAAAGTCAGTAGAATTTAAATTTTCTATAGGCAGTGGCTATTCGCACGCTCCTCGGTGAATTTTACCGTGGATTCACGGTAGATTATCATTCACATCTTGTCTGACATCTCTGCTACGAACTCAGGAAAAATTTTGCGAATTCGGATTTTATTTCTTATTTAATAGAAAAAGTCAGTAGAATTTAAATTTTCTATAGGCAGTGGCTATTCGCACGCTCCTCGGTGAATTTTACCGTGGATTCACGGTAGATTATCATTCACATCTTGTCTGACATCTCTGCTATGAACTCAGGAAATTTGATCCGAGCAGATTCTACAGAAATTATCTGAACAGAATAGGTAGTAAAGAAAAATTGAATTCTGTCGATTTTTTTTGTAAAATATTTTCCATTAAACATTTCTACTGAAAAAAAAACACGCAAATAAGCTGCAGAAATCGTCAATAGAATCAGCTAAAAACTAATGGGAAATTCAATAGAAAATCAGTAAAATTCGTTAGGTGTTTTTTTATGAAATTAATTCGCACGTGAAGACAGATCGAATTGATGAACAAATTATTCTTCAGGTTTTCGCGGAGGAATATCCGGATGTGAATGTCCTGAACTATTCGCCAGGGCCCGTGGAAACGGATATGTTGAGGGCTATCGCCGAGACGGCAGGCGATCAGGAAACTCGAAAGATGATGAGTGATATGAGAGCTGGTAACAAGCAATTGACAACTGAACAGACTGTCAATCGTCTCGTTGGAGTACTCAGGGACCAGAAATACAAATCAGGGGCGCATGTTGATTATTTCGATGATATTTGAGGGACTAGATGTACTGAATGCACTTCACGAAAACAAAAAAAAATAAAATAATCGTTTCATTATTTCATGCACGAAAATATTAAAGACCAATTGAAGAGCCTCGAAACAACGATTCATATTATTCAGAGCTCCTGATCTGAATAATATTATTTTTTATACGAAAATGTTAAAACTTGAATTTGTAAAAATGTTAATCACAGCTGAGTGCTTTGTTTTAACTTGACATCCAAAATAAATAATGCTATAAATCACGAATTGTCAGAGTTTATCATCACGTCTGCACTTCTTTACGGGGACTCGAGGATTCCGCGATTGCTAGCGCCGAGCAGAGTGTTGAAGTAGATTCCACCCGTGAGTGATCAGACAGTGCCAATCTAGACGGCGTTACGATTACAAACACTGGCGGCTTGTCAAGCGTTTCCGTTGTAAAATTCCGAAGACTCGAAACCGCGATTTATTCATAATTAATTCGTCATGGCGGTGAAGGTGCTCTCGGGAAAGGTCTTCCTCCTGATTACCGGCGCCAGCCAGGGGATCGGCAGGCAAATCGCTGTGACGTTTTCGGAATTACTCGAGCCCGGCTCAAAGCTGCTGCTCCTAGCGAGGAGTGAGAATGGCTTGAAGGAAACTGCGCACAATGTTTCCAAACGAGTTTCCGTGGACATCAAGGGCGTTGATCTGGCTGTTACCACTGCTGATCAGCTGTCCGGTAATATATATTCCTTTCTTATTTTTTTGTTAATCTTATTCGATTTTTATGACGCAGATTTTTTTTCTGATTGTGTTTTAGACTTCAGAGCAATTGACTCTAGAGGAAAATGTCTTGACATTTTTCTCTAAGTTATTTCCTCAAATGTCAAGACATTTTCCTTTAGATTACTATTTTCATTCATCATCGACATAATTTCAAATATTTGAGTAGTGAAGCATAAACAACGGGATAAACAGATTTCATTTAAAGAATACTATTCAAGAAAAAAACATTGAGAGATAATTTTTTATTCGTAAAATCCTCTTTGATAGACTCAAGTGGAATCGATTTACGGTCTCGTGCCATCGATTTAAAATCTCATTATCAGTTGAATGACTGGCATTTTCCCTGCAGAGATAATAACAAAATCGGTCAATCAAGTGCAATTTGATCGCATCATCGTCGTCCACAATGTCGGATCCATCGGTGATGTGTCGAAATTCACAACTGACATGAGTGACTTTGAAGAATGGAGAAAATATTACGATTTGAACGTCTTCTCCCCAGCGATACTTAACTCTGTTGTCATGAAACTTTTCAAGGACAATACGAAGGCTAAGAAAATCGTTATTAATATTACTTCATTCGCTGCTATTCAACCGATGAAATCAGTGGGGTACTATTGTTCTGGTAAGGCTGCCAGAGAGATGTACTTCAAGGTAATATGAACAATAATTGTTCCAATGATAACAAATTAATTAATCGTTTGAACTTTTTTATTAAAAAAAAAAAATTTTCTGACAAGTTTTCAAAATGACAAAATTATTTTTCTCTCTCTTTCTAGAACAGAATGAAATTTACATCATTAAAAGTTTAAAGTTCAAAATTTATATCATTTAAAGAGGAATAATCGAATGATTTTCAGGTTTTCGCCGAAGAATACCCAGATATCAATGTCCTGAACTACTCTCCGGGGCCCGTGGACACCGCCATGCTTAAGACTTTCTGTACAACTGCAGCTTATGCCGATCAACGAAAGAGAACGACTGACATCATAGCTAATAATCAAATATTGACGACTGAGCAGACTGTCAATCGTCTCGTTGAAGTTCTCAGAGACCAGAAGTACAATTCAGGAGCATTCGTCGATTATTACGATGGGACTGAGAAGGCTAGACCTCGTCTTAGTAAATAAAAAATCTTTCCGAAGAGAATTATGTATTCTTAAAAAATTCTACTTATGAAAATTAATGAATAAATAAAGGAATTGTCTTGAGATGAATGCAAGAGTTGAGTGAAAATAAATTTAAATGCATTCACCGAGAGCTTTTCTATTTTTAGGACTTCTGCACCGAATACTCGACTTTTAATTTCGTTAGAAGATAACTCATTTCGTTATTATCACTTTCCGGAGGTTATCAGGATCACACGTGCACTTGTCGGTGATTCGGGCATTCAGAAGTTATTCAAGTATTTGAATAAATCCACCTGACGTGAATAATACTATTTTTTGCACGAAAATGTCGAAATTTGAATTTATAAAAATGTTAATCACAACTGAATCCTCTGCTTGGACTTTATTTCCGAAATAGAGGAGGTTGGGGTAAAACGGACACTTTGGACTTTTTTTCAAATGTTAATGAGGCGTTGAAATGTTGATGAAATTTAATAATTTTTTTTTCAATGCAAAGAACAATTCTTTCCCTTTGTGACGAGGCTAAACTGAGCTCAATTGATGGTTTTTTTTCTGATTTATGAATAATTTTAAAAAAGTCTAAAATGTCCATTTTACCCCACCCTCCCCTAGATAAGTCTGTAAATAGAGAAGTGTCAGCGTTTTATCGTTATCACGTGTGCAGTTGCAACCGGTGATTCCGGGATTCGGCGACTACTAGCGCCCGTCAGAGAGTATTGAAGTAGATTCCACCCATGGGTAATCAGACAGTGTTAATCTCGCCGGCGTCACGATCGCAAAGTCGTCATGGCAGTGGAAGTGCTCTCCGGAAAGGTCTTCCTCCTAATTACCGGCGCCAGTCAGGGGATCGGGAGGCAAATCGCTGTGACCTTTTCAGAATTACTTGAGCCTGGCTCCAAGCTATTGCTTCTGGCCTTGGACGAGGAAGGGCTGAAGGGAACTGCGGATAAAGTCTCCAAACATGTTTCTGTGGACCTCAAGGCAGTTGATCTGTCTGTTGCAACGGCTGATCAACTGTCTGGTAGTATCCCAAATTTTTTTAAAGAATTGAAATTCATTTTTTTTTGTCTCTTCAATTTTTTCTTGACATAAAAAATTAATTAAGCATTTATTCGCGAATAAAACTTCTCTTAATGACGAAATTTTATTCCAAATTTATTATTATTATTTTTTCTTCAATTATTATTTTAATAATAACAATTAAATAAGTTATTAAATTATTATTATTTTAAGTTATTAATTTTATTAATTATTATTAAAATAATAATAACATTATTGTTAAAAATAATAATTATTATTGTTATCATTATTAATAATAATAATTATTATTATTAAAATAATAATTTAATAACTTATTAAACTATTCAGTAACTCAAAGAAATGTAAAAAAAAGTCTTATAACTATTGCAACTATTGGAAATCTTGATAAGAATTTCACCTTGAAATCAAGTTGACTCCTAGTTGTACCACTTCAGATGTGGATATCAATTCCCTCATGTTTACAGAGATAATAAAAAAATCGGTGAATCCAGCGCAGTTTGATCGCATTGTTATCACTCACAATGTCGCATCGATGGGTGATTTGTCAAAACTCACTACTGAAATGGCTGACTTCGAATACTGGAGGAAATACTACGATTTGAATGTATTTTCCCCAGCAGTGCTCAATTCTGTTGTCATGAAATTATTCAAAGACAATGGTAAATGTAAAAAAGTTGTCATTAATATGACCTCACACGCTGGCATTCTACCCGTGAAATGCTCGGGGTACTATTGCTCCGGTAAAGCCGCGAGGGAGATGTACTTCAAGGTATTTTCAGATTAACACGAGAATTTAATTAAATTAATTAATTAATCAGTCAATAGACGGATGAATGGATGGATAAATATGATAATGAATGAATGAATAAATAAAATAATGAATAAATGAGTAAATTGATGAATGAAAAAATGACTGAATGGATGAGTAAATAAAATAACGAATGAATGAATAAAATAAATACATAAATAACTAAATGTACGAAAAAATAATTCCTCAGGTATTCGCTGAGGAATATCCAGAGGTGAACGTCCTCAACTACTCTCCAGGATCAGTAAAAACCGAATTATTCGACACCTTCCGCGACACCGTTGCTGACCCGGGGGAGCAGAAGAAAATCCACGAAATGATATCGAATAACCAGGTGTTAACTACTGAACAAACTGTCAATCGCCTCGTGGATATTCTCAAAAACCAATTGTACAAGTCAGGGGCGCACGTTGACTACCACGACAAGCTCTCGACAGTCTAAACGCCAAGTTTCTCAGTTCTTTACTTCGTTCTTGTGATGAGAAATAAAACAACACATCCCAAAATTGGGGGATTCATGCCCTTCACTTCCAAAAAACATTATTTTTATTGTAGAAATGTTGAAAACTTGGATTTATAAAGATGTCAATCAATTCCTTAATGTCTAATTTGTTTCCCGGATCACAAATTTTTATCACAAGCGAATGAGTCGTTACTCAACACGAAATTCCCTCGATAATGAGTGGATTCAGAAGAAAATATCTCTGACAGTTTGTTCTGCATTCATAATTAACTCGTTACGTGCCACCAATTCCCTGAAGAACTCGTTACTTTCCTCTTTACATAAATATGTGTAACAATAATTTAAGCGTTGCTTAATTTTTCATAAAGATTTAAATTAATTATTCTCAAGTAATTTAAAATATTTAGCTATTGCACAACGGCAAACTACTTTCGATTTTTTTTGCATTGAGCAATCAACTAAACACGAAATAATCTCCATAATGAGTGGCTTTAGAAGAAAATATCTCTGACATTTTCTTCTGAATTCATTTATCATCGAGATAAACGCATAATTAATTTGTTAGTTCCACCAATTCCCTAAAGAACTCATGACTTTTCTCTTTACATAAATACATGTAACAATAATTTAGACGTTGCCTAATTTTTCATAAAAAATTTAATTAATTATGCTTAAATAATTTAAAATATTTAGCTTTTGCACAGTGGCAAATTGTTTTCGATTTTTTTTGCATTAAGCAATTAAATAAACACAAAATTTTCTCGATGATGAGTGGCTTTAGAAGAAAATGTCAGAGTTATTTTTTTCTAAATTCATTTATCATCGAGATAAACGCATAATTATCTCGTTAATCCCCTAAAAAACTCGTTACTTTCCTCTTTACATAAATGTATATAACAATAATTTAAGCATTGCCTAATTTTTCATAAAAATTTAAATGAATTATGCTTAAATAATTCAAAATACTTAGCTATTGCAGTGGCAAATTGTTTTCTAATATTTCCAAATTGAGCAATTAACCTCAGTCTTCCTCCACAAGAGAATTATAAACGGAATCGTTGACAGCTCTCGTTTGATGTCTATCGATAACAACAATTAGTAAAAGAATGCAGGCAAATATGGAGCTAGACAGTAAATAAACAGGGGAAGGATAGTACGGTGGCATGTAGTTCGAGTAAAGCAGAGTGTACAGAGAGTTTGTGGCCAGAGGTAGAGTGGAGCCTATGGAAGTTGCCAATGAGAAGACTTTCCCTGAAAAGAAATGATGGAGTAGTGAACGCTGTTGAGGACAGTTTCACAATTATGCTCACCAACATCTGCTGGAGGCACGGATTTCGACAGGATCGAGCGCATCGCAGGGGACAGGAGGCCGCTGAATACTGCAAACGCACTCCCTGAGTACATGTGCCATGGCTCGAACGTGAATGCTACTGCCATTGATCCAGCGAACGACGACAGCGTGCCAATGACTCCTAAAGTTAGCTCTGAAAAACCTGAAACGTTTCTCTTTTTTATTCATTTTATTCATTGTGTTCAATTTTTTTTCTAAATTTTCTCATCTAAAAACAAACTTTGACAAAAATCTTCTCACGAAATATTTAATTCTCAATTGTTGCTGGAAGGAATTTTAAGAGATATTTTTATTCATCAAAATTATGACATCATTTGGAAATTTAAAATGATTTCCATGAGCAATTATTTTATGTAAAGAAAAACTGAAAATTTTTATTTCAATTCCTTCAAAATATTCAATTATCGGCATTATTAGTAACAAGAACTTTAAGAGATATTTTTATTCATCAAAATTATGACATCATTTGGAAATTTAAAATGATTTCCATGAGCAATTTTTTTTATGTGAAGAAAAACTGAAAATTTCAATTTCAATTCCTTCAAAATATTCAATTATCGGCATTATTAGTAACAAGAACTTTAAGAGATATTTTTATTCATCAAAATTATGACATCATTTGGGAATTTAAAATGATTTCCATGAGCAATTTTTTTATGTGAAGAAAAACTGAAAATTTCAATTTCAATTCCTTCAAAATATTCAATTATCGGCATTATTAAAAACAAGAACTTTAAGAGATATCTCTATTCATCGCAGTTATGACAATATCACTGTTGAATTTAAAATGATCTCCATAATGAGCAATTTTTTAAATATCAAGAAAAATTTAAAAATTCATTCTCAATTCCTTGAGGTAAAAAAATCTCTTGACAGAAATCTTCACACGAATATTTTGAGCAAAGTCTCAAATGAGAAATGTCTTACCAATCCACCTGAAGATTTTAATTCCCAGAGAATTGCCAGCAATAACAAGAACAGTCCCAATGGCCATGAGCCCTGAGTACTGTACCACATTCCACCCCAATCTGGCACTGGCGAATAAATATCCCATATTTTGTTCTCCACTTATGGAGACAACGTGGAGAGATAGAATTAGCAGGCAAGTCCAGAGGGTCATACGGTCCAATCCAGGTCTTTTTTTCGTTGCTGTTCGAAATAATTCTTCGACGAGGGTGAAATCAAATAGACTCGTCCATTTTTCATGCTGAGGAGAAATTTTTTATCGATGAATTTCAAATATAAATGAACATACCTAACAATTAATTAATTATTAATTATTAATTATCAATTATTAATTATTAATTAATTTATAATTGTTGCATTACTCACTGTAAATGGGCTTTTAACACTTTCAGGGATCAAAAGTACGATATCAAGCAAGGCAACACCAGATATTGAAGCTGCAGTGATGAATAACGTAGTGTACCCGTACTTTTCGAAGACGAGGGGACCTACGAGGGTCCCAACAACGAGCCCCCCAACCAGAAAATTTTCGAAGCACGCCAAACGCCAGGCCCTGTTCTCACTATTCGTGATGTCAGAGATGTAGCAGAATGTCGACAGCATCATGAGACACAATCCCCCCAGCAAGGCACGAGGAATCGAGGCGATCAGGTAAGCCCACGGGTTCAGATTCCAAATGGTTAATATGGCGAGGATGATGAATGTCAGAAAAGGGGCTAGAGAAATAACAACAAACGATAGTTGACACTATTTTAATAATGTCAATAATAAATACTGAATAGTAATCATTTTTCATAATGATCGGGTTTAATCTTATTCACAATTCATGACTATTGGTGGAAAATTATAATTAGCTCTAATAAGTTTGAAAATTATTAAAGCTAATTATAATTTTAAATAAAAAATAATAATTTTATTGAAAAATAATTATCAATAATAATATATTTATAATAATACATTATTATTAATAGTAATAATATATAATTTTAGTAAAAAGATATTTTTGAAAAATATTCTAGATTTTCATTGAAATTCCAGAGTTAATTAATTGATCCCGTCTGAACTGCATTCGTTTTTTGCGAATATCTCGCAAACTAATGGATTTAACGGAAAATGTTAAAAAATATTTTCTGTCGGGAAATCAAGTCTCTACAAAAAATGTTCTATAACATTTTTTGCTAAATCCAATAGTTTCGGAGATTTTCGTAAAGTAATTAGAATGACTCTTGTTGACTCATTTCCTGGTCTTCATGGATTATTCATAAGCACCTGTAAACGCTGCGATTAAAATAGGCTTCCTCCCGTATTTATCGCTCCAGGGCCCCAGGAACAGGGACAGAAACGCCGGGAGAATTCCCTCAATGAGGGATTTACTGAGGAGAATGTAACTCGCTCGGGGTTGAATCAATTTCTCCAGGTCCATCGCAGCTTGACTGCTGCTGTTAGTGTGCAGTAAGTCGCAGGTGTCGTCGTGGGATTCACCCAGGGTCAAACGACACGTTTGATAGAGGATCAGATCAGAGAATACTGTCGCTAAAGCACAACAGCATCAATCAATTAATTTAATTACATCGACGTGAATGAAGAAATTTCAGTTCTTGAAATCCACTGTTCGTTTCACTGAATTTTTTCCTTCGCATTTCATGGAAAAAATCGTGCAAAAAACTCCAATTCTATTGAGTTTTCTTCTGTAGAATATTTGCTATTGCACATTTCTATAAAAAAAATATGTAAATGCGGAATTTTTTAATAGAATCAACGAACAAAATTGTAGAATTTTGCAGTGAATTTTCTGCTGTTTTTCACTTCATTTTTGTGTTCTTATTTCAGTGAAGAAGTAAAATCCTGTTAATTTTTTCCTTTAAAATATTTTCTATTGAATATTTCTATTTAGAAAAAATATGTGAATGCGGAATTTTTTAATAGAATCAACGAACTAAATTGTAAAATTTTGCAGTGAATTTTCTGCTGTTTTTCACTTAATTTTTGTGTTCTTATTTCATTGAAGAAATAAAATCCTGTTAATTTTTTTCTTTAAAATATTTTCTATTGAATATTTTTATAAAAAAAATATGTGAATGCGGAATTTGTCAATAGAATCAACGAACAAAATCGTAGAATTTTGCAGTGAATTTTCTGCTGTTTTTCACTTAATTTTTGTGTTCTTATTTCATTGAAGAAATAAAATCCTGTAATTTTTTTCTTTAAAATATTTTCTATTGAATATTTTTATAAAAAAAATATGTGAATGCGGAATTTGTCAATAGAATCAACGAACAAAATCGTAGAATTTTGGAGTGAATTTTCTACAGTTTCTTAATGCATTTCTTCTTATTTCATTAAAGAATTCTGTAAACAAAAATCTGTTTTTTTTCCATTCAAATTTGCAAGCGCAGAATTTTTAAATACAATCAAAAAAAATGACAGAAGTTGCCAGGAATTCTCCACATAATTTCAAGCCTCATTACCTGTCATTCCGCCCGCACAAACGCATAAAAAAACCGGTATTTCAATAAAGCTGTAACGTCGCCATCCCGAGAGTATGTCAATGCCGCCTTCACTTTCCATTGTTGATGATTTCGAAAAACCCTTCGAAAAACTCTTCACTTCTCCGCGCTTTTTCACCACTCACTCACACAAATTAATTTAATTAATTAATGCAAAAAAGTTTGCATTAATTTACTCTCTCAGATATGAACAATGCAGATCGCATCCCGCGATATGCGCCGAGTTATTCGCTTTGTTTGGAGTCTCGCAGGTTACCAGTACACTATATCTCGCCCATATGTTACGTCACCGTCAAGATAACAGACATTGTTTCAGCGGAACACGTGTTCTGCCCCTTTTCAATTAAAAAAAACTCTTCTTTGAACTGAATTTTGTGACAAACTTGTACTTGTTGCATTGTGTTTTGGAGCAGGACCGATGACAATCAGCTGTTCAGTGTTTATATGTCACATTCGTGTGTGTACGTGTGACAGTGATGGCAGACGTCGAGAGATGACGATGACTCGACGATAATTAGAGAGAATTATTTAGTTAGAAAATTAAACGATGGAAATGAAGTGTTTAATCCTAAAGTTAAATGAGGAAATGAATTATTTAATTAGAAGTTTGAATGATGAAGTTAATTATTTAATTAGAAATTTGAATGATGAATGAATTATTTAATTAGAAAATTGATTAGACGAATTGTTAGTAATTAGAGGAATTTTAATTGATATGGAGAGACCGAAAACTCCGGATCAGGAAGATTGCTGTGGGAATGGCTGCAGCCCATGCATCTTCGATGTACACAAGAAGCTAGTCAAATGTTGGGAGAATAGGGAGAAAGAGAGTTTCAGAGAAAAAAGGAATATTCTGGAGGCTCTGAGTTATAAGACGTTTTATGTTGACAAGAGGATTGATGTGAATGACGAGTACTGTTTGATATGGTTAAAATACAAAGGTAATTAGTACCAGATAACAATGATAAATAATTATGAACAATGAAAATAATTATGAAAAATAATGAGGAGAAATAACATTTTTGTTGACATATTTTCTTCAATTATCTCGATAACGAGTGATTCCACGAGAAAATGTGAAAAGAACATTTTTGCAGATGACAAAATTCTGTACAAAAAATGCCTCTGACATTCCTTTCCAACTCCTCATTAGCCGTGTAATTAAATAATTAAATAAACTTGATTGGTTGATTATTGAAACTACCTATTGAGGAAGTGAATAGAATGAACCGTTTTTAATTGGCAATAACTCCGAATTGGCAGAGTGAACTTCCACGATTTTTTTCCACTTTCAAGATATTTTTTCAGGCTACAAAATGAGCTCCGACTCGTCCAAATCGCATCGTTGAATCCTGAGATATTGAGGATTCAAAATGGCCCATTTTTTTCACCTGTTCCTAAAAATTTTGATAGAAGTAATTTTATGTTTTTCAGCGTCTGAACCTGGAGAAGAAATTTATATGAACGCTGGGCAGCACATAATGATCAATATCGACTCGTGGACGAGGCCATTCACCCCGCTATCTGGGACAGCCACGAGTCTGCAGTTACTAGTGAGAATTTACAAAAACAGTCCCTTCACGAATAAATTAAGAACGATCGAAGAGGGAGAAAGAATTCGAGTGCGAGGGCCTTACGGGGACTTCCACTACTCCAGGAACTCCTTCAGGAGGCTCATAATGTTCGGGATTGGGAGTGGGATCGCAGCACTCTACCCAATCGTCAAAGCAATCACTGAGGACGAGCTGGAGGACACGAGGGTTCACCTGATCATTGGGTTCAAATCGATTGAGTTAACTCCATTGAAACGAGAACTGCAATTGCTAACGGATTATTGGAACGTCGATTGCACTCTTCAACTAGCTGAACTAGGTAAAATAATGTATCAACCCCCAATCCTGGAGTAGAGGAAACTGAAACAAAAAATATTGTTAATGAAATGTGATTGCAGGTGAGGGGACGAAAGTCAATGGAATGAGGATAACACGTGGGAGGATAAACCTAGAGATTGTGAGAGATATCCTGGGGGACGAGAAGCCCGAGGAAACGCTGGTTCTCGTTTGTGGGAATAGAGTATTTAATAGTATGTTGGAGAAATGCTTAAGTGTTTCGAATTTTAGTCATTATTATATTTTTGAATAAATTTGTTACATCTGTTGGGAGTCAATGGAAGTATGTGAATTATTGTGACACATATTTCACGAAAGATCTGAATATTTTTTCTTTATAAACAAAATAAGTTGATTTTCTATCTCTGTTGTCTTCAGATCCAGTCATCACATTGTTTAACAAATGACGAAACGTCAGGCGTTTTTAACTTTAATCATTATCACATTTTCGAGTCAACTTGGTACATTTGCTGAGACTCAAGGAACGCATATGAATTATTGTGACAAAAATTTCACAGAAGCAAAGTGACGAAGAAATCAGTCTTATTAATTGTAGATATTTTTTCTTTAGGAAGAAAACAAGGTCTTTTTATCTCTCCAGTCATGAGACACAGTCATCACATTTTTAAAAATATTTTTTTGAAAAAAAACTGTTCGTAGAAAAATATCACTCAACTCTTTCTTGTTGAAATTAAGCCATCAATTATATTTTTGACTAAATAGTATTTTTAAATAAATCGTATCTATGAAAAATAAATAATTTCAGCTAGTGGATTGATTGGAAGAACTATTTGCCGAAATACGTAACGAATGATATAAAATATTTCACGAAAAAATCATCACTGATAAAAAAATATCACTCTTATCGAACCTTAACAGCACAGGATATGTTTTCCTTACAAACAGGACAGGTTCCATGGCATCGATCGAAATACATTTGCTTCCCAGCGACTGTCTGCAGCCACTAGAATCCAAACCAAGAATGAAAAAATTAAAATGAAGGAAAACAACTCAAATAAAAAAATTGAAATGAAGGAGAACAAGTGGACAATTACATTTTTTAAGTAAAAAAGATTAAACAGTTAATGTGGATTTTAATTACTCCTGCATCATAAATTTCTCTGAGCTCACCTCCAAAAGACAGGCACTATGAAAATGCTTCCTGCACCTCTCGTTGCTGCAAATCTCCGAGGGAAGTTTTCCATCCTCCGACTCCAGGGAGAAGCAGATGCAGCACTCGTCATCCTCGAAGATGGCGTCGTCGTCCTTGGCCTCGTCTGCTGGACGCTGCGGTAGCTCTCTAATCTCCAACAGCTCCATGACATTCTCAGGGATCGTCTTGTCAGAGTCCCACTTGCACATGTTGTCACTGAGAATGGCCCTGCACTTGGAAACCTCCTTGTCGCTCCCCAGGAGCTCCATCTCAGGGAAATTACTGTGCGACTGGAGAGGATTGAGCTTGATCAGGAGGGAGAGAGCCGAGTTTATGTGGATTCTTCTGTACAGGTGGCATGGCTTGGGATTTGTGGGATCAATCACCCAACAATTCCTTGAAATAAAAAACCCAATAAATTAGTTTAATCCATGAAATCTGAGTTATACGTAAAACTATGGACTTTAGCAAAAAATGTCAAAAACCTTTTTTGTTGAGAATTTTCAGAGCTACAAAAAATCTCTTGTCAGATTTTCTAGTAAATCCCATAGTTTTGGAGATATTTTGATTTTTCTAACTTCATGTTTCAATTCTCACTCGATTTTCGAAACGAAAAATAGAAGGGCACCAGTCAATAATTGCAAACATAAATATTTACTCGTCAATCTCCGCCAGTTCTCTCCAGGTGTCCTCAAGAGCATCGACCCTCGACTTCAGTGTCTTCGAGGCGTCCATCAGCGTGGGAATGCACTTGTCAAAAGGGCGCCAGACAGGTAGCTCGGGTAAGTCTGAGGAAACCAGAGCCCAGGAGTTGCTCGTCGTGTTCTCTGGCTTCAGAGTAACCGATATAGACTTGTAGATGACCTTCACAGCACTGAGATCGTTATTCCCCTGGACTTCAATGTCCTGAACCAAAAAATCGTCGTTAATTCACCCCATTCTACTCAATTAAAAGTTATTTTGAATCTCACGTGTTGATTGGGGACTCACAGGCTCTCTTAGGAGTGTTGTCAGCTCCTTCAGCATATCCTTATCGAAGAAATGGGATTTCGTAGGGGAATCATTGGTCTTCTGCTTGATTATTCCCTCCTAATACCCAAACAATCACAAATAATGTAAATTAACTCATGCAATAATTATAATTAATTCACAATAAATGAGTTAATTCATTCCACATTAGCTTCATTGATTTTATTTCATTCTAATGATTAATTAAGTCCTCATTAATTTGTTAATTCATCATTAGAATGAAATAAAATCAATCAATTGATTTTATCAATTGATTTAATCATTTAATAATAAAATCAATTAATTAATGAGGAATTAATTCCTCATTAATTCATTAATTCTGATAATAAATTAACTAAATATAATTCATAATAAACAAAAATCATTATTTTACGTACCATCAAGCCCTGCAGCTGTCTGAGAAACGAAAGGACCGAAGTCCCATTGACCAACAGCTCCTTGAATTTATTCTTGAAGTCGCTCCCCTGGAGAAGGCAAATTTGCTCGCCAAAACGAACGCTGGCGTCTCTCAATTCCGGATAATGTGGCACACGAAGTTTCATCTCGACTCTCGTGTCTTTATTCACCAGTAAAAAGCCGTACCAAGTCATCGGCTTCTCGGAGATGAGCACCAGCAGGGGGTGGCACTTGACAATGTCCGAGTACTCAGCCATTCTCGTCGACAATTGCTCAACAACAACAACTCACCAAATTATCTACCATTTGGGATCACTTTCGTGAGCTCAACTGCTGTTTTCACGGTCTTGTTTATGTTTTTGAACGATCAGCTGATCCTTCGGCTCGCGTTTCCACTCAGCGACAGCTCTGGAAATTCTCTCTGACCCCCAGAGGCGCCACTGACGCCTGCACTCGCCATTTTGGTTTTTTGGGTGGTGAAAAAAAAAGTCACACGTAGGAGTGGACTCTCCGCAATCCGCGATTTTTATTTATCGAGAGTGCTATTTTATCGAGTGTGATTGTTAATAAATGGAAGTGAATGCCAAGTGCGAAGAATGACGCAGTTTTTGCCACCGAATTTGTTGGCTCTCTTCGCCCCGAGGGATCCGATACCGTATCTGCCACCAGTCAGCAAACTACCGCATGAGAAGAAGAATGGAGGATACCTTGGCGTCGGGGCATTTCTCAAATATTTTGAGGTAATTTGTCTCTCTCGTATTATTGTTGAGGGGTTTTACTAGGCGAGTGAACTCGCAGGGCTGTTTGCCCCGGATTCAGGGGAGAGAAGTGCTTTTTTGGGGCGGGGCAGAGGGACGATTTTTTTTTGATGATGTCTTAGTCCTACGGCTGCACAGGCCGTTTCAATAAACTGTAGTATGTTTTTGTGATGTGAATGATAATTAATAGAATTGTAGTTCTAAATTCATGAGAATGAATAATTGAATTTGTTTAAGTCTGTTGGTGCATGTTCCTCGGATTTTCAGGCAATGAGACAGATGGGGAGGGTTTTGGAGCGTTCTATTGTTAACTATTAATTATTAACATGTTTTCAATTAATTAATGGGGGAAAACTTGAAAATATGATTATTGACACTCAATTTGAAACTGTTGAACCGGAAAAGTTGGGTATTTTTGATAAACTCCAGAATATTTTTATGATTTAAACAATGATTACATATTTTTATTATTCAAACAATAATTAATACAATTATATTTAAATATTCACCCGATTTTTCATTAGTAGAACAGGATTTTTTTTTCGATTTTCGGGGAGGATACAATGGGTTTAATTGATGTTAATTAATTATTAATGAATTGTTAATTAATTTATAATCATCTATTATAATTAATGGAATGTATTACATTTATTCATGAATATCTTAACGATTTTTAGCCATAAAGCAAATAAAATTAAATTTTTTTGGAGGATTTCATGATAAAAATTGATTACCCACGAATTTTTGATTAATTAATGATGATTTAATGAGGATTCAAGACAATCATGACCCAAAACCCTCGTTATTAACTTCGAGTATTTGAAAAGACAGTTAAAAGTCTAGTTTTAATTGTTGTGACTGAATGAGTCATTCACTAATTGGGTCTTTGAGTAATCTGTAACAATGGGGTTGACCTTTTCAGGATCCCAAGGACACACCTCCCCCGGTTCGTGTCGAGACTCGAGAGGAAAGACTGGAGAGACGAAGACGCGAGCGTGCTGAGCAAGTTGCCTATAAATTGGAGCAGGAAATTGCGGTTTGGGATCCAGCTGGAATTCCAAATGTCACTGCTGATCCATTCAAAACACTCTTCATTGCTCGAATCGTGAGTTCTTCCCTAATTCACATTTTTAGCTATTAATTTTGTGGAATTGAAGGGTAATCTTGTGAAATTTTTTGTTTTTAGAATTATGATACATCAGAATCAAAACTGAGGAGGGAATTCGAGGTTTACGGGCCAGTAAAGAAGGTAATGAAAATTAATTAATTAAATCCATCATGAGTTAAAAAACTCAAAAATAATATTGTGTGAATATCAAGAGATATTTTTGTAGAAAGAAGAAAATTTTATACGAAAAATAATTTGACAACTGTTTGATCGATTAATTAATCAACTATTTTAATCATTAATTTACCAAATAATGTTTCTCAATGATAATTTTGCATCGTGAGATATTATTTACGCAAAATTTTCTCATTTTCAAAAAATGTCTAAACGAAAATATTTTACAAATTAATTACAGATTGTCGTAATTCACAATACGATCAATGGAAAGCCAAGGGGGTACGCATTCATTGAGTATGAGCACGAAAGGGACATGCACTGTAAGTAAATCACGGTCGAAAGACTCCCAAACCGAAAAAGAAAGTGAAAACCCCCAAAAAAAATCTCAACCAAAGAAACCTCGGGTTGGCCCTTGAGTTTGGTGCTCTCGTTAAATAGCGTCACTCTCAGCTAGTAATTTTGGTGAGGGCGGGGGTCCAAGTCTAGTGATTTGAACCGGATAAAGGTCACAGCCATACCCACCACCCAATGCAGGCGATGAAACCCCAATTGGTAAAAATATAGACACCCAGTGACAATTGATCACATGATGACAATTGCTATTGACATAAAGCAACAGTGACAATTTAATAACAACCAAAAAAAGGACAATTATTGGCTGTCTTGATTAATACAGTTTTTATCTTGTTCTTGGTACAGCGTGGTGGCCGCTGCCGGCAACTAGTGCCGTTCACTATTCCATGCAAAATCCCTGAACCTGCCTGAATATGATAGGTTTGTATGTGTGGTAAGATCCAACATACAACAAAAGAGAAAAAAAAACGTTTGTTAGAGTCTGTTTACCCTTGTCTTGAGAAGAATCCAGTTGTCAGATTATCCAATTATTTTGCCAATTTGAGGATTGAATGAGATTAGATGGGGAAATTGCTAGAGAGTGGGGAATAAATCTGTTGAGAATCATCCCTGAATTAATAGGCGTGTCAAAATTGGTCTTTCTAGAATTTTTACCACAATTCTGGTAAACATTCGGTAAGGCCCCTTTAGGAATTTAGCCTTGAAATTTTCGAAAACTATTCACGAATTTTTTATTTAACAATGAAAATTGTTAACAATTCAGGGAACTATTGCTCTGAATTCTCAACCCGTTAGATATTAAATTGAATGGATTGTTTAATTTTCGTAATATGTTTGATAAACTCAATTTTATTGCATTCTCAAGATGAATAAGGTGTCATAAACAATTTAATTAAAAATTTAGTTTAAATGCACAATGTTTGAAATTCAAATGCAGCTGTTGATGAAAGTTTTAATATTTGATGTAAAATAATGCCATTTTCACTAAAGTTCTGGTAAAAATTTCTGAAAGGCTGTCATTAAAATTCAGGGATGATGTTTGATGATTTTTTCTCTCCTCGCAGTGAAGTGTAAACCTTGCAGAACGAAACGAGTCAATTTTTCACATCTCAATCATTTTGGTAATAAGATTCAGGAGGAAAATGTCACAATACACTTCTAGCCAGCGAAAAGAAATTTTGACATTTTCTTGTCGAGTTCCTTGTTCACGAAATAAATGGAAAAAATGTTGAATATGACTCCTTAACTGGACTGCAATGAATCGATTTTCACATTTTCCTGTGTATAAAATTATCTCGATGATGGTTAATTTTATAGAGAAAATTTCAAGAGTAATTTCCTCTTAAAATTGAATTTTCGGAGATTAATACATATTTAAATACGTTGAAATTCTTTTCTCATGGTTTTATCACTTCACTCCAGATGTCTTTGATAACGTAGGATTGTCCCAATTGAATGACGAGAATCATTAATTAGCGTTCTACATTGAAATTGATTGGTGGGCTTCGAGTTGTCGTTAAAATTCAACGGTTTAAGGTTCAGGGACTCCACTGATGGAAACGCGTATTGAGCTTCTCACTTTCGATCGAGCTTTCAATTATTTTAGCTATTTTTTTTAAATTTGGGGAAGGAATCAGGCGATTGGTGAGTTTTTACGATAGAGGGGGGGGGGGCAATTAAGTGACTCCAGTTTAATTCCGCATTATCTGATGAAATGGGTTCAACAGAAAAACAACGAGTCCTCATTAATCACGAAATCCCCCCAATAATGAGGGCCTCCCCACCACATCATTAAGAGACCTCTCTCGCATCCCACGAAATTCCCAAATTGTGATCTCTGGATATTGAAATTAACTAATTCCCCGTCTCGCCCCTCGTCGCACACAAGTCCTCAAACATATCAATTTCGATATAGAATACTAATTTATTCTGCGCCAGAGCCCTTCCCCGGGTCGTGTCCCCCTCTTCAAATAATTAAATATCGACTAGCCTTCACTGAATGAATCTTAATCACCAGAGTTCAAGTATGCGAGTGAATGATATGACGAGAAAATGTGATTAAATTCCTCACATTCCCCTGAACGAGCGTTTTTTTCGTTAAGACCCGGGTGCATTGTCTGTCGAACGTGATCTTGACTGTTCTTTTTTTTTATTTTGATGATGTAAAGTATTTTCCAATCGCCCTTCAGCTTTACATCGCGGAGTAGTCCCTAAAAATAATGATTGTTATTGTAAAAAAAGTGGGAAATAGACTGAACGTTTTCACAGTTGGAGAGAAATTGCATAATAAATTATTCATTTGCAATTTACTCCCTATTGGATCTATTGAATATATTATTTAAAAACATTCTTTGGAAATGTCCAGCTTTTTTTCTATCGTGCAATTAGAATTTTTGGAGAGTCCAGTGCTGCGTAACACTGAATACCAATTTTTTAGATTATCAAAATTTTAAAAAACAAGTGGTCAATTGCTTTTGTTTTTATGTAGCACAGCTGTTATTGCTAATAAATGCTGCCGAATGGTCATTTTGCACATCGTTTTCATCTATCGTATATCATTTACCGTTTTATATTATTTTGTTCAATCGTGAAAATTCTCATATAAATCGAATAAAAGAATGATTCTGTCCATATTATCTTGAAACTTGGATAGAATAGTATTAGAAAAACATTTTTCATGCGTCATTTAAGTAATTTGAAGCATGATACCCGAAGATATCACAAAATTCTCATTTTCAAAAAACGCAAAATTTTTGAAAATCATTTTATGAGTTGAAATTCGTTCAGAGGAGCATCGCGACCATTTTTTCAAGCCATCACTCAATGAATTCGGACCATTTTCTTGGGTTATCGTGGGGCCACCGACTTTTGAAGAAATTCGCCACTTCCAAAAATTAATATTTGAATCAAATTTTAATTATTTTCGATGGATAGGGCTCAACAATACCTACATTAAAACTAAGAATGATTAAACTCCATCGATTCACCAGCAAAACAACAAAAAATTGCATTTTCAGACTTTTTGGGTCATAACGTACTGACAAAACACGAAAAATTCAAAAGTTGAATTTGAAAAATTACAAAATGTCCATTCGGAAGCGAAAAAACAATCAGGATGACGCTCGAAAGATGATACACCCGTGTCTTAATTCTACTAGAGCCATTAACATGTACAATCATAATAAAATAAATCGAAATAAATGCGCACGGTTGGTCTCTGTAAGTAACTAAAAACGAATGATAAAAAAAAGCGCACCAGGTAATTGCCTCTTTGGAGATTGAAACGAACCGAAGACTGGGGAGCTTTGCCAAACGAATAGCGTACGCGCTGGTCTACCTTCCTCGCGTGTCACTTGCACAAGTATTCAATTATCACATTAAATAAGAACAGTAAAAATGAACATAAAGTATATAAAACATTTAAATAATTGTGTTAACTTCCGTACGTAAGTAGCCGCGGTAGGTATTTTTTGTATGATATAATTTTTTTTTCTTCCTCTTATTTTACTACAAGTACATACCTAGAGCCTCATGTAAGGTGAGAGGGGACTTTCGAGGAAAGTCTCGGTGAGACGATTTATTTATTTTGCTGGTAATGTTTTGGGATGTCATCGGGTCATTACGATTTGGGTAAGACGATGGGGACACTGATGATGTTGAGAGGAATATGAATTGTTTCCGTTCCTCCAGGTAAAAACGGTGATGATGTTGAGTAATCCCAGCGACACTGAGGTAACAGGGAGGGGATGTTGGGGGCCGAGTGGTGGAACGTAATTGAAGAAGTCGATTCTCTTCAGTCGGGCTGATTTCTTGAGGAATAGGAATTTTTTAAAGGGAATAGCGATAACAGTAGAGAGTAATAATCACATTAAACTGAATTGGTGCAGTTTTCAGTGGAAAATTAGAGGAAAATATTAACTGCAATTTACAGTTGATTTTTTTAATCAAATAGTGAATTTTTTTAAATTTTATTTTCTTCATTGAGGTTTTACAATTGAAAAAATCTCTAAATCAATTTATTACTGTTTGATTGGAATTGTGGAGGGGGTGAAGAGACAGGAGTAGGAATTTTAAAGAATGACAGGAAAATTTTGCAACTTGTTTGAATTTTCAATTGAATATGAATATGAACTGTTCGTTAATTTCTTCATCGGATTTTTTTGCAATACAATTTGTGACAATTAACAAAATTTATAAATCGATTAATTACGATCTACCACTCTGCCACTGGGATAATCCTCGAATAGAGAATATCATTCTTAATTTAAGAATAATTTTGCAATTGAAGGTTCCGCACAATTTCTGAAATTTCTAGATTAAGAACAAAAGGATTGATTTCACAATAGATGTTGATGTAAAACAAAGAAAGAACTTTTGTAACATCAAGGAAATAAATTGAATTGAATTGAATTGATTTCACAAAAGTCGTATTTTCACAGCAAATTGACCTGCTCTTGCAAAATTGTCATTAATGTAAAAAAAATATTCTCAAGAAAAGCCTGTTTACCTCTGAAACGTCCAGCACTTTGATTATCATTTTGTTTTTTCAGAAATGACTCGATTAAAATTATTACCTTGCATCTGATAATGAGCCTAGATAATTTTTTTTAGTGATTAATACTGATAATCCTGATTAGGTGATTGTGAAAAATCAACAGATGGAACTATATATTTCCATTGGTAATTTTAGCTGCGTATAAGCATGCGGATGGTAAGAAAATAGATGGTCGCAGAGTGTTGGTGGATGTGGAGCGCGCTAGGACTGTTAAGGGATGGCTACCGAGGAGGCTCGGGGGTGGACTTGGGGGGACAAGGAGAGGTGGACCCGATGTTAATATCAAACACTCTGGAAGGGAGGATAATGAGAGGGAGAGGGAGAGATATCGGTTGGAGAGGGAGAGGGAGGCGTCTGGACGAGGGATGGACAGAGAACGGTAAATGAGAAATTACCCTTTCATTATTTCATTCATAAAATCATGATCAATAGGACTTTTCCGTAGAATTCTTTCACTAAATTTAACGATAAAATACGAAAAATGAGTAAACAATTAATTTTTTTTATTTCATTTTTAAAAATGATCAAATGGACGTCTTATTTTCATTTGTAAATGAATAAACTTGATCGAATTGAATAAGAATAATTTTTTTATTCAACTTTACGTTTCACAATTTTTTCATTCCATTAAATTTCTTTAGTGATTTTATTTATTTACGTTTTCGATTATTTTTGAATTTTCTTAAACATCATTTCCTCATTTTCACAAGTGTTTTGTAATTGGACTTTTCCGTAGAATTCTTTCACTAAATTTAACGATAAAATACGAAAAATGAGTAAACAATCTAATTTTTTTCATTTCATTTTAAAAAATAATCAAATGGACGTCTTATTTTCATTTGTAAATGAATAAACTTGATCGAATTGAATAAGAATAATTTTTTTATTCAACTTTACGTTTCACAATTTTTTCATTCCATCAAATTTCTTTAGCCATTTTATTTATTTACGTTTTCGATTATTTTTGAATTTTCGTAAACATCATTTCCTCATTTTGACAAGTGTTTTGTAAATATTCTTTCAGTATATTTTTTTTGTTTGTGTTTTTTTTAATTGCTATTCACGTAAGAAATTCTCGTGAAGAATGAAAAAAAAATAATGAAATTTGCGCGTTTTTAAAGTGATCGTGATCGAGTTGACAGAGAGCGTCGAAGATCTCGCGAGAGAAAGCGACGCTCGCGCAGTAGATCGCGCGATCGTAAGCGTCGGCGCAGTAGGGAACGTGCTCCCGAGCCCGAGATTGAGGAGATCCAGAGGGAGGAGAGAACCAGAGACAGACGTGAGCGCGACAGAGACCGCGACAGGGACAGGGAGCGCAAGAGGAGGCGATCGAGGAGCAATGATCGTAGCGATCGTGATCGCGAGAGGAAGAGGGACAAACGGGACAGGGATCGCGAGCGCAGGGACAGGAAGGACAGGGAGAGGGTGCCTGACGAGGATACCAAGGAGATACGGATTAAGGAGGAGCCCATGGACGGTAAATCACTATTTTCCCCTTTTTTAAGACATAAAAGCCACAGGGAAGTGGAAAAATCTTTAAAAAGTCTTTAAAAAAATAATCTGAGGGCGAATAAAATAAGTTTCAACTTTAAAATTATGGCTGAGGTGAACAATAAATTCAAGAAATAAACATGAAGATGAATACTCATTATTCATTTTTTTTTCTTATAAATTTTATGGAAACGAAATTTTATAATTACTGTTTTAATATTTTATGATTGATTAAAACAGTAATTGAAGGAAATTAATGTTCAGAGAAAAAGATGAGATGAAGAGCAAAGACGAAAAATTAATGACAAATGAGGAAAAACAGATTAATCCGTAAATGATAATTAAAACGCGGTTGATACATCGTAATTGAAATAATTGTGACGAAATATTATTCTCGAGATGAAACTAATAATGATTTTTAACATAATTTTCAGATTATCCTGATTACGCAAATGCTTATCCCTCTTCGACCCCCTACTTTGCACAAGTGAAATACGAAGATGACAGTGAAGTGGAGGAGAAATACAGAATTCCTGAGGGTCGCAACGATCAGCCATCCTACAATTACGACTCCGTGCCCGACTATTAATGATAAACGATAAAACCGTGATTACCCGATTTAATTAAATGAATTCGAATGGAGGAAGAAAAGCACTGAGAATAATTCGTGTTCGTAATTATCTAAAATTGGTGTGTCAAACTCAGTAACTGTGAATTTAATTTTGCCAGATTGAATAATGCAACGAGCTTTCGAGACACTCTCCCTGTTGTTCGACCCTGATTGTGATGTTTCAATTTATTTTTTCCAATGAGGACGGCAGTCTTAATCGAGACGTTTCGACTCTAAAGACGATTGACTCTGAAGACAATTATCCGATGAATTGGGGTAATTTGAAAATTGAGGAGATGGAGACTCTTTAGTCTCCGGTTGATCAATCAACTGAAATTGAATGGTATTCAATCTGTACATATTATAAGTTTGAAAAATCAATTCATCATACTTGACTGCTGTATGTATTTTATACATATAGAAATAAAGGAAACAAATTGGAGATGTGACTGCGATTTTTCTGTGTTTTCATTTTGAATTTTTAACCTTTTCGAACAAATAGAATATTCCAAACATTATTTTTTTATTTATTAATTATCCCATTTATAAAATATTTAAATTTTCACGGAAATGAAGAAAATGCGAGCACAAATGTATTTGAAATTGGATCCTTTCATTTTTCGAATTCCAAAAAAAACGGAAGTTGATATCACCCCTCCCCCATTAAAAAAAAAATCAATCCCGGGAATTGATTTTTTGAGGGAAACGAAAAAAGCAAGAATAAAAATTCTCAAAAATGAACTGCCCCATTTTCTAAATCCCAAAAAAAACCGGAAGTTGATATCACCCCTCCCCCAATCAAAAAAAAAATCCCGTGAGGGCTGAGGAAAATGGACAAAAAAATTACTAAAAATGTTGAAAATTAGTTTTCCCCATTTATTTAAATTCCAAAAAAAACGGAAGTTGATATCACCCCTCCCCCAATAAAAAAAAAAATCAATCCCGGGAATTGATTTTTTGGGGGAAACGAAAAAAGCAAGAATAAAAATTCTCAAAAATCAACTGCCCCATTTTTCAAATCCCAAAAAAAACCGGAAGTTGATATCACCCCTCCCCCAATCAAAAAAAAAATCCCGTGAGGGCTGAGGAAAATGGACAAAAAAATTACTAAAAATGTTGAAAATTAGTTTTCCCCATTTATTTAAATTCCAAAAAAAACGGAAGTTGATATCACCCCTCCCCCAATAAAAAAAAAAATCAATCCCGGGAATTGATTTTTTGGGGGAAACGAAAAAAGCAAGAATAAAAATTCTCAAAAATCAACTGCCCCATTTTTCAAATCCCAAAAAAAACCGGAAGTTGATATCACCCCTCCCCCAATCAAAAAAAAAATCCCGTGAGGGCTGAGGAAAATGGACAAAAAAATTACTAAAAATGTTGAAAATTAGTTTTCCCCATTTATTTAAATTCCAAAAAAACCGGAAGTTGATATCACCCCTCCCCCAATAAAAAAAAAAATCCCGTGAGGGCTGAGGAAAATGGACAAAAAAATGACTAAAAATGTTGAAAATTAGTTTTCCCCATTTATTTAAATTCCAAAAAAACCGGAAGTTGATATCACCCCTCCCCCAATAAAAAAAACAATCAATCCCGGGAATTGATTTTTTGAGGGAAACGAAAAAAGCAAGAATAAAAATTCTCAAAAATCAACTGCCCCATTTTTCAAATCCCAAAAAAAACCGGAAGTTGATGCCCCCCTCGCCCAAAAAAGTCCAGGTAAAAAAACAATCCCCAGAGGGCGTAATGATCGACCGGTGAAGTGTCGCGTGTTGCCACATCAGCATCGTGGCAAAATGAAAGTATCAGTAGTGATACGTTTTGTAGATCGCGCTCGGACCCATCCACCGTAGTACGTGGTTGATCGTGGAACAATATCTCCAGTCCCGTATAACCCACCAGTTAGTGCTCCCTCAAACATGCCAGCAAATTTCTGAATTACACCTCAGCCGTGGAGTGGTTTTTCCCCATCAAACAAATCGTGTATTTTTATTTTCACCATTAATTTTGGATTAATCGTACAACGAAGCAATTGACTCGTGTAAAATCGAGTTGATTCTTTGATACTTTAATACAGAAAAGACACTTGGAATTCAGGGCTGATATTATTCATCATGAGCACTCCTAACAGCACGCCGCATGTGGACACGAAAGTCGGTATCGTGAAATTGGTGAGTCTTTCCAGGGATTTGCGGCTCATTTTCCTGAATCAATTTTTTTATAAATTTTTCTCGCCTTCGTGGGGTGGATTTTCTGGTATTTTCGGGGGCATTTGTGTTTATCAGGGCCAACCAGCTGGCATTCTAGCCCTGCGCCAGACATATGTTCTCCATTTCGGCACAATTTCTGTGATTTTTCGAGTTATTATGTCAGATGTGGGGTAATTCAATTTGTCGTCGAGTCGGGAACGATTCGCAGGTGAATTTACGTGGCAATGACGGGTTTCGCGGGACGCTCAGGTCCAGGCGGGCTCGGGGGGAATTGACCTGTTGTGTGATCAGTGTTTTTTTTTATTGAGGGGTGCTCAGGGGGGATTTTCGAGCTTTAGTTCGTTAGGTCGAGGTTTTTCTGTCGGATTTTGGGAACGGAGATAGCGAGGTATGAGCGTAATGATGATGATTGATTATTCAGGGAATTTTGTTGGGAAATGGCCTGGAAAAGAGCATTGGGCTATAGATTTTTTGAGTTTGTTGTTATTTACTGTCTTTCATACCTAAATTGTCCTTTGATACTATTTTATAAAACTACTAGGTCCCAATATATTTGAAAAATTGAATGATCTGTGGAGCAATAAATACTATGAAAAACAATCTAGAAATATTATTTTGCGAATAGTTTTTTATAGCTCATTAAATTTTCTCAGATGATGTCTGACATTTTTGTGTCAATTATTTGATCCCGAGATAATTCAATAATTGAAAAGTCTTTAGGGTAATGACTGGGATTAACAGTTATTATTCTCAAAGAAAAATTAATTGTCTAATATTCTCTCCCTAATCTTCATTCAAATTAAAATAAAATCCCCTCATTTTGAAAATCCTTGTTGTGTGCTCATTTTTTTTTATTGAGAGATGTTCTTTTTGCAAATAGCGTCTCTATAATATAAATTATTAGATCGCAAAATAATTCAACAATTAAAAAGTCTTCAGGGTAATGACTGCGATTAATAGTTACTATTCTCAAAGAAAAATTAATTGTCTAATATTCTCTCCCTAATCTTCATTCAAATTAAAATGAAATCCCCTCATTTTGAAAATCCTTGTTGTGTGCTCATTTTTTTTTTATTGAGAGATGTTCTTTTTGCAAATAGCGTTTCTATAATATAAATTATTAGATCGCAAAATAATTCAACAATTAAAAAGTCTTCAGAGTAATGACTGCGATGAATAGTTACTATTCTCAAAGAAAAATTAATTGTCTAATATTCTCTCCCTAATCTTCATTCAACTTAAAATGAAATCCCCTCATTTTGAAAATCCTTGTTGTGTGCTCATTTTTTTTTATTGAGAGATGTTCTTTTTGCAAATAGCGTCTCTATAATATAAATTATTAGATCGCAAGATAATTCAACAATTAAAAAGTCCTCAGGGTAATGACTGCGATGAATAGTTACTATTCTCAAAGAAAAATTAATTGTCTAATATTCTCTCCCTAATCTTCATTCAAATTAAAATGAAATCCCCGCACTTTCAAAATCATTTCAAAAATTGTTGTGTGATCATGTTTTTTTGATTGAGGGGTGTTCAGGGTGGGTTTTTCGATCTTCAGTTCTTCAGGTCTGGATATTTGTGTCAGGGATTTTATGAATGACGATACCGGGATGTGAGCGTAATGCTGGTGATTAATTATTCATGGCATTTTGTTGGGAAATGTTCGGGCAGACGATTGGGAAATGTTTTGGAAAACAGTATTGGGTTTGGCAATTTAGAGTTGATGTTTTCATTGTTTGTTTTCGATTTAAAAAAAATTCTGTTATCAATTATCCCTTCTAAATGAATCAATTTCTTTCTTTGAACATTTTCAGTTTGTTGAATTCTATAAACAATAGCATTTTTTACATTTTTTTAAGTAAATATAATAAATTTTTAAATTGAGGAAATTCTACAATTGAGAAATTTGTAAAGTAATAAATGAAATAACAAGCAATCGTTCACTAAATTCCCTCCAAATCCCGTCTGACATTTCCGGGTAAATCTCCTGGATTTCGAGGTAATTCAACAATTGAAAAATTCACAGGGTAGTGTCTGTAATAATTAAAAATAATTCCTGAAGATTTATTTGATTTTTGAACACCTAGAAAATGATTGGGTTTAGCTAAAATGCCTTCCGCGATTTTTCTGAGAATTCAGCAATTAAGAAATTTGTAAATTTCTCAAAATTGCTGCGACGTGACAGAATTCCAGGGCGTTATCTTAAAAAAATCGGTTTTTCGATTATTTAACCGTCGTTAATGCCCTCCAATACAATTGAACATAAACTTTTTCCCATCGCGATTTAAAAAAATAATCCAAGTCGAATTAAGAACAAATACCAGAAAAAAAGAACGAATAGATTAATCGAATAATGAATCAATGAATTTTTTTTGTCATCGTAATTGATCCAGAACAGTTGGATTTATTTGAAAATGGAATGAATCGAGGTGAAATCACAAAAATTCCTGACAAATGTCTTCCCCCCGATAGATTGTCTCTGGTGATACCGTGACAATCAGGGACATTCCACGAGGGAGGCCCCCAAATGAGGTGACGATCTCCCTGTCCAACATCTCAGCTCCCAAACTAGGGAGACGAGGTGGCCCCAACGCCGATGAGGAGAGGGACAAGCCATGGGCCTGGGAAGCCCGGGAATTCCTGAGGAAGAAGCTCATCGGGCAGGAGGTGGTCTTCGCCGAGGAGAAGGCCGCCACCACGAGAAAGTACGGTTCTGTCTGGCTGGGAAAAGGTACAATAACCACGAGAATTCAGTAAAATGAGATAAAAATCGGCTCTTCGACCGTACGTTACATTCTAGAATAATTTTACAATCAACCCCTACAGGGTGGCATTAAACCATATTTTAAACTATGATTGAATTAATTTATAGCCTATTTATTTCATTCATTCATACTCTTATATCCAAAGATACCTCCGAAATTCTCATTTTCAAAAAATCCGAAGTTTTGGAAATTATTCTAAAATTATTCTGTAAATTAGAAAAAAACTGCTATTGCATCGAAATAATTCTTCCAAGTCATCGTGAGACAACCGATTTTTGAAGCAATCGTAAATTCTGAAAATTAATACACGAATTAAACTTTAATCAATGTCGATGGATAGGGCTCAACAATACCTCCATTTGAAAAAAAAAGCGAAAAGATAAAAATACAGCATTTGTATATCTTTAACAGAAACAAACAATTCTCGTATTACCAATAAAAAAAGTAAATTGAAGATAACATCAAAGATAAAATGAAAATAAATTTAAAAAATATAAATTATCTTTTTATTATTATCAATTTAAAGAGATTAAATCAAAATAAGCTGAACAAAATAAAAGAGATTAAATTTTGCAACATCCCCAACTGCAAAAAGGCCAAAAAGCAAAGTAGTCAGTAACAAAATCAAGTAATAAAAGTAATAAATCCCTCAGACAAGAACACGGGTCAGAACGTATCTGAACTCCTGGTGTCGGAGGGTCTGGCGACAGTGAAACGTGACGTTCGCAATCCGAGCGACGCGCAAAAGCGTCTGATGGAGCTGGAGGACGCGGCGAAATCAGCCGGCAAGGGCCTCCACTCTGGTGCGCCATCCTCGGAGCACATTCGCGACGTGAAATGGACGATCGAGAACCCCCGTGCCCTGGTGGACAAGTACAACGGCAAGCCCGTGAAAGCGATAATCGAGCACGTGAGGGACGGTTCAACGGTGAAGGCCTTCCTCCTCCCCGACTTCTACCACGTCACCCTGATGCTCTCGGGGATCCGCTGTCCCCAGATCAAGTCCGACGAGGAGGAGCCCTTCGCGAGGGAAGCCATCTTCTTCGTGGAGTGTCGAATCCTGCAGAGAGACGTTGAGATAATCCTCGAGGCGGCCAACAACAACAACTTCGTGGGGACGATTCTCCATCCCAACGGGAACATCGCAGAGCTCCTCCTGAAGGAGGGCTTCGCCAAGTGCATTGGCTGGACCATGAACATCACCAAATCCTCTGTCGACAATCTCTACATGGCTGAGAAGGCGGCGAAGGAGAAACGACTGCGACTCTGGCGGGACTGGGTGCCCACAGCTCCCCAGAAAGAATACAATGCTGTTGTCATTGAGATCACGAGTGCTGACTCCATGCTCGTGAAGAATCAGAATGGAGAAGTAAAAAAGGTTTGTAACACGTTTTTTTCATTTTTTTCATCTCCCAGTTGAGATTTTCAGGAATATTTACGAATCTAAGGGAGATAGCGAAATTTTTGTAATTACATTTGTTATAGCTCTCAATCGGCTCTACAAAAAAGGTTATCACAAAAATTTTTCTACCTCCCTTCCATTCCGAGATATTCATTGAAAACTGGTCACTAGTCAAAATTAACTTGTACCGTTTTACCACTTCACTACTGAATTGTTCTTAATATTCTATTGAATTTCTATTTATTTTTTGTATCAATTCTATTAAAAATTATGCAATGTATTTTTAAATAGATATTTGTTTAGAAAAATGCCTATAAATATTGATTTTTCCAAGTTTTTTTCGTGGATTTTACTGTAGAAGTAAAAGAATAATAATAATAATTTTATTGCAAGATAGTATGACCTTTAAGACCTTTTACATAGCTTTCCTACCCCTAAGAACTTACAAATTGAAGATAAATAAAAGAATAAACAAAAATAGCGGAGAAAACATTAGAAAATTGAGGCCACACAAATAGTTGTATTAATAAAAAAATAATGAATAATGAATTCAATAAATGAATGAATTTCGTTGAATGATAATCGCAGTTAGAAGTATTTGCCATAAAAAAATCCCGCAAGTCGTTGAATGATGATTTAATAAAAAGATCAAAATTCTAAATGAGTGAAAAAATATTGCAGGTCTTCCTGAGCAGCCTGCGACCGCCCCAGCGCCCGAAGAAGGCAGGGGAGGAGAAGGACGCCCCCCGCCCGAAGGACTTCCGTCCCCTGTACGACATCCCCTTCATGTACGAGGCGAGGGAATTCCTGAGGAAGAAGGTCATTCGAAAGCAGGTGAAGGTGATCGAGGATTACACGCAGCCCGCCAAGGACCAGTACCCAGAGAAGATCTGCTGCACGATTTTAGTTGGAAAAGTCAACATTGCCGAGGCGATGGTGTCCAAGGGGCTGGCGACAGTCGTCAGGTACAAGCAGAACGACGACTCGAGGCCCCAACATTACAATGAACTCTTGGCTGCCGAGAGCAAGGCTGAAAAATCAGGGCACGGACTCCACGCCAAGAAGGACACAGCCCCTCAGAGGATAATCGATCTGTCTAATGATCCCGCCAAGGCCAAGGTCCACCTGTCAGCGTTGAAGAGGACGAGGGGAATCAAGGCTGTTGTCGAGTTCGTTACGAGTGGCTCGAGGCTGAAGCTCTTCCTGCCGAAGGAGCACTGTCTCATCACTTTCCTGCTGGCTGGGGTCAAGGCCCCCAGGAGGTCCAGGCCGAAGCCGGGGGGCGGCACTATCGAGGGGGAGAAGTATGGCGAGGAGGCTTACAACTTCATGAAGGAGCAGACCTTCCAGAAGGACGTGGAGATCATGGTCGAGAGCATGGAGAGCAAAGGCAGTGGATTCATTGGCTGGCTCTTTGTCGATGGGGTCAATGTCGCTGTCTCTCTGGTGGAGGAGGGCCTCGCTGAGGTCTCCAGCTTCACCGAGAATGGAGAGTACCTGAAGCTTGTGAAGGGTAAGGATTTTTTGGAATCTGAAGGATATTAGTTACTGCATTCGAGTTATTTCATTCAAACTAAATTAATTCATTTTATTTTGCTTTCTAATGTTTTTGGTAATTGAAAAAATCAGTAAAATTACTGAAATTAATCAAATTACATTGCAGGAATTGCAATTGTATTGAATTGCATTGCATTTATTTCATTGACGCCATTCAAACAAAATTAATTCATTTTATTTTGCTTTTTAATGTCTTTTAATAGTTTAAAAAATCAGTAGAATCAACTCAAATTGATCGAATTACTTATTTTATTGAGGGATTTTCTTTTGAAATTCTTCGACTCAAAGTTTCCAAGTTTTTTTGGTAATTTTTTTTAAGGGGAAACGGAACCCCTGTGTCTATATAAACTTTTAGAATTGTTATTTCTCCAGAAATTAGTATTTTTTATTTATGAAACTCCTTCATTGACTCAACAATGCAATGATCGAACTGACAGAGAAGTTTCATTGATGAAAATTAACAATTGTAGGAGAAAACACAATTCTAAAAGTTCGTACAGACACAGGGGTTCCGTTTCCCCTTAACGAAAGGAGAAGAAAAATAGTCCAAAAAAATTGAAATGAAATGATTGTTCATTCACAATTTAAAAAATCCCAATTACCCATCAATTCGGATAGAATAAAAAAACTAAAAATAAATGACTGAATTTAGGTGCTGAGGAGCGTGCAAAAGCGAAAAAACTCAACATCTGGAAGGACCGAGCTGAGGTTGAGGCAGACACTGAGAAGATCGAAGAAGAGAAGGAGGTGCCTGAGAGGAAGACAGAGGCCAAGGAAGTGGTGGTATCTGAGATCACTGAGGAGCTCCACTTTTACGCCCAATACGTGGACCAGCGCAGTCAGGTTGAGGGGCTTCTGACGAGACTGCGCCAGGAGCTCGAGGACAATCCTCCACTTCCTGGGGCGTACAGTCCGAAGAGGGGGGAACTTGTTGCTGCCAAGTTCAGTGGCGATGACCAGTGGTACAGGGCCAAGGTCGAGAAGGTGGCTGGGACCAATGTCAGCGTTTTTTATATTGATTATGGAAACAGGGAGGTGATTAATGTCACGAGGGTTGCGCCGTTGCCTGCGGGATTCTCCGGGGAAAAGGCTTTCGCCCATGAACATGTGCTGGCTTATGTGGAGGCACCCAAGGATGTGAGTTTTTTGAAAACGTGATTTTTATTCATTTTTAAATGCATTCTCGGGAATTAAAGTTTTTGGGAATTAAAAAAATTATGAAAAAAACTCATGGATAAACACTGTAAAGACTGGAAAGCTATTCTAGACTGTTTCAAGAATTGAAGAGAAGGGAAAATTTAAGGAAAAGGGAAAGAAGAATTGAAAGAGGGGAAGATTATTTTTGTTTCTATTTTACTATTTTGGATTTTCAGGCTGATGACCTCAAAGCTGCGCTGGAGGCTCTACAGGACGATTTGGCAGACAAGACGCTGTTGTTAAATGTTGCATACAGAACTAATGGTCTTCCAGCTGCAACTCTGGCTGATCCAGTGTCCAATGAGGATCTTGTCAAGGCTATTGTTTCTGATGGATATCTGCACGTGACAAGCAGAAAGATCACTAACAAAGTGGTACGTAAAATCATGGAATATTTGGAGAGATAAATTCATGGAATATTTGGAAATGATTCCGTCGTGTCTGCAATTGCCGACGAATTTTGTCAAATTTGATGGAAATTTAATAGATTTAATTGAATTAATTTCTGCCCCAGAATATTTTCTTTCCCATTAATACTCCAATTGATTTTTTTTCAGTACGATGACTTCAAAACAGCTGAGAATGACGCAAAGAAGCATCACCGTAACATCTGGCAATACGGCGATGTGACGACTGATCCGTCGAAGGACTGGAAGTAAACAATCGTCGAATGAAATTCCACCCACGACGTTAAACCAATAAAATATTGAATAAACTACGCATAAAAGGGAAAGGAGAATCAACGGAGCATAATATAGACAACAGAAGAGTAATCATGAAGAAACGATAATGATTCAGTAAAATGTATTTCGATAAAACAAGAAAAAGATAATTGGTGTACTGTTCTGGTGGTTGTGATCGATGTTTGGAGGACAAAAAAAGTATGAAAGAGGAATGGAAAGCATAATAGAAGTGAAATATTAAATTGTACATATGATCATGTTTAATTGCCAGGGGATAAACGATGTGGACTGGCATTTGACCCCTCCTCGATCAATCTGCCCAATAAGACTGTTGTCACCTCATAACTGATTCATTAATTATTAATCATAATGAAAAGAAAGTCTACATTATATTCTCAAGTCCCCATCCCACCAATCATGTTTTAACATTTCAATTGTTGAATGAAACCACTGGAGGAGACATTGACACGTGAAGATNGAAAGAAAGTCTACATTATATTCTCAAGTCCCCATCCCACCAATCATGTTTTAATATTTCAATTGTTGAATGAAACCACTGGAGGAGACATTGACACGTGAAGATGCTTGAAGATTACGTCGTTGACACAGCATTATCCATGTTTTTTTTATTTTGATTTCCTTTTTTTATACACCGAAATATATAATCGATGATATTGTTAATCATTGTTTTATCCTTTCTGTCATCTATAGTTATTTTTTGCTGGACTTTTTTCTTCGATTTATCATCACGGGGATGAGTCGTGGGGGGTCGAATGCTGGCGTCACTGCTGTGCCCCATGAATGTGCCAAGTTTATCGATAAAACGTAAAAAGTGATGTAGAAATTCTGATTAATCTATGCAGCTCGGGGCACTGATTGTTTCGGGGATTTCTTCGACGTTTTGCGGAATCAAATTATTGTTAATGATACAATTTAACTGATTATGACGACATGAGTAGAAAGCACGAGTCGAAATCCTGGGATTGCGACGAATTTTTATGGAGTAGAATATTACTTTGATAATTGATTTCATAACGTGAAAAAGCGAGTGGTTTAAAACTAGTGTTTTCATACTTGGAGAACGCTCCCAAGACGTTCGACGACGAAGACGAAAGCGAAGCTGAGAGCTCCGAAGAAGATGCTGATCCACCTGGCGTAAGCGGCCCCCTTGCTCGCAGGGACTTGAAACCTGAAGAGCCCTTGGAGAATGTCCTCGCAGGTGAGGGCCGCCAGGGAGTTGAGGGCACTCGCCACGGTACCGAGGGAGGCGGCGAAGATGCCAGCGACAAAGAGACCCGGGATCCCCGGGTACTCCCCCATGAAATTCATGACGTAAAGGGGAAGGAGCTGATCCATTCCCGAGATGTGCGACGCCCTCAGGGGGTCGCAGGTCTTGTGCGCCGTGAAGAGGACCATTCCGGTGAGGAAGTTGATGGTGTAGATGAGGATTAGACTGAGCGCGGACACCCAAAGAGCTCTGGACAGTTCGGAATTGACAATTAACGGGCTATTCCCACAATGAAAAAATTTAATTGAAAAATCCAGCGAATTCTATTGGATTTCTGTTGAAAATTCTGTTAGTTTTTTGTCGATTCTGTTGACTGAACGACAGAAACTATTTATTTTCTCTCCACTTTGCTGTCTTTCAATCGAAAAAAAAATTAAAAAATATGAAAAAATATTAAATATCGAATATTATTTAAACAATTGATAAATTTTAAATTTCTATAGAGAATTTTTCAATTTCTGTAGAGAAAATAGTCATTCTCAATAGAATAAAAAATATTGAAATTCAAATACTAAAATATTAAATATCAAATATCACTTTAAAAAATTATAAATTTGAGTCAATTTCTATAGAGAATATCTCAGTAGAATAAGTTATAGAGAAATAAGATTTTTAAATATTAAAATAATAAAATTAAAATGCTAAAATCTTAAATATCAAATATTATTTAAAAAAAATTATAAAGTCGAGTCAATTTTTGTAAAAAATATCTCAACAGAATGTTACACAGACATACGTTGTCAATAGAACTGTTCCATGCGTGAGTATTCCCAAAAAATAAAGAAGATCTAAAGAAATTCATCAAAGTCAGTTCTCAAAGTCGAGTCTGACCACTTCGCGACCGAATCCCCTTGGCCATAAATTTTCACTCACGTTCTGACTTGTCCGATGGACTGCACACTCAGGTACTTCTGCACAGACGCCTGGTTACTGCAGAACATCGTGGCCCAGTAGAAGGTCCCCCCCACGACGACACTCCAGAAGCTGTGTCGAACAGTCGGACGAGGGTCCATGATGAATAACTCAATTCTATCGGTATGTAGACTGTCCCTCCACACCGAGGACATTCCCCCGGCCTTCGCCATCCCCAGACCGACGATCACAAACAGCGAGACGAGCAGAACCACTGCCTGGAAGGTATCCGTCATTATCACTGCCTTCATGCCGCCCTGAGACGCGTAGAAAATGCAGACTACGTAGACTAGAGATACAGCGACGTACGTGTCGAGCCCAGTGACTGGAATAAATCGTGAAAATGTGGATTTGCACACGAAAAAATTTTATATTAAATTTATCTAGTGGAGAAAATTTTTTTATTGGAATTCTAGTGAAGAATTCCGCAGATTCCGGTTATAATAATATACATGATATATTATTATATAATAATATATCATATTATATAATTACAATTATATATTTATTAATTATATTATTATTATTAATAAATATATAATTGTAATTATGCAATATGATATATTATTATATAATTAATAATAAATAATAACAATATATAACAGTATATATCATATTATATATAGTATATTCTATTATATTAAGAATATATTATTTGTAATATAATATATTATTATATAAATATATAATAATTAATATTTTATATAATTAATATAAAACAGTAATTTCTATAGAAAATAAACGCGGGTGTAACTGCAAAATTTTTCTGTACAGAGCCAAAAAACAAAAACGGGAATTCGTTAGAGTGTTGAATTTTCTAACGAATTTCTCAAGTTTTTCGATGGAAAATTTTCCCCGTATATTTTGTTTTCGTAGTTACCGTGACTCAGAGCTAACGCTGGTGCGTAGACAGCCACCGAGGTGTACAAAATCATTTGTAACATGTAGAGTCCACTTGCGAGGAGTCTACAATGCCGGTGGAATCTCAGATTCAGGTACTCGTAGCTCGATGTCAATCGCAATTTCATGTACACCGGGAGATACAGGCGCGATGTTATGGGGATTACTAGGATGAATGCGAAGCATGTCATCCAGAATTGTGTGCCCTGGAGAACAAGCAGGTGGATCCAAATAGTTAACGATTTTTTTTACATTTAGAGATAAACGGTAAATTAACTCGATAATGTAGTTGAGAATAAATCAATCAATCGAGAAATAAATTTTCTGAATTTCTCGACTTTGTGTCATTGAATTTTTCTTTCCCCTCTCACCGAGAAATTTCTGAAGAAACAAGCTCGGTAGAATTAATTGTGTGGAAGAATCAAAATCTGTTTATTTTATTCTTAAAAATATTTTTACCAAAGCGCAACAGAGATATGAAATTTTTTAATGGAATGGGTGAATGAAATTTTCAATACGTTTCCAATAGAATTTCCTGGCGACTTTTCCTTTCTATGAAATTCAAATGAATCGAATTCATCATCATCTTTGACTTCAATCTTTGGCTCAATAATTTTTCATTGATAATTCTCTGATTTTTTTTAAATTTAAGCACAAACCTAGCGGTTACATGGCTAATTCTCTAATTAAAAGAATTAAATGAAGAATTCGCAACAGATTAATTCTTTACTTTCTCTGGAAACGAAGATTTCTCGTCATTTTCAAGGGAACGCATTGATTCAAAGGTATTCACAATAAAAATTGAAATTACGTTTTGAAAAATCACAAACAAAAAAACAAACTCGGTAGAATTAATTGTGTAGAAGAATCAAAATCTGTTTATTTTATTCTTAAAAATATTTTTACCAAAGCGCAACAGAGATACGAATTTTTTTAATGGAATGGATGAATGAAATTGTCAATACGTTTCCAATAGAATTTTCTGGCGACTTTTCCTTTCTATGGAATTCAAATGAATCAGATTCATCATCATCTCTAACAGCTCAATAAATTGTCATTGATAATTCTCTAATTTTTTTAAAATTTAAGCACAAACCTAACGGTTACATAGCTAATTCTCTAATTAAAAGAATTAAATGAAGAATTCGCAACAGATTAATTCTTTACTTTCTCTGGAAACGAAGATTTCTCGTCATTTTCAAGAGAACGCATTGATTAAAAGGTATTCACAAAAAAAAATTCAAATCACATTTTGAAAAATCACTCACCTGCGCATACATTTCCGCCGGATTCCCCAGCAACTCGATGGCAGTGATGAAGCTGGCAGCCAGAGACATTGCCATGGGTAGAGTTCCCATGCTCGACCCCCCCAGCAGGAAATCCTGGCTTGTCTCCTGCTTCTTACTGCAGAACGCGTAGAAAGTCCCGATGAGGCACGACACCAGGAGCATCACCGCCAGAACCGAGTAATCGATCCACGAGAATAAGTGGAGGAGTGCTGGGTGCTCTGCGATGCACTCCTCCTGGGTCGTCCGCTGCTCCGCCGAGGACATCGACAGGGCCAGGAAGAGGATCAGCAGTCGTGGCCTCATCTTCAGGGGAAATTAAAGTAAATCTGTCAAATAAAATCCCAAATTGTCTCTTGAACATCGTAAAGTCGTAATTCGTGAGTTGATGCTCCACGAGGACGAATAATCAGGGAGGGTGGAAAAGCTCATAATTTTTTTGTCTACGATCGGGCGAAAATTCAAATTCAGGATGAGGTAAGGACAATTGAACTGAAAAAATAAGAAATTTGCAAACTAATTTCTGAAGGTTCGATAATGGGACGAAAAATTGACTAAAAAAAGACATAAAAACGAAGAAAACCGTAACGAATTCGAATTATAGAAATCTAGAATTATAGAAATTCCTCGTTAGGAATTTTTCGTGTTTTTTTCCACTGACTTCTTCGTCTCTTTCAATTAAAAAAAATCAAGCAAAAATTCTGTACAAAATATATTTGATAAAAAGAGACTACAATCGGGCAAAAATGAAATTCATGATGAGATAAGAACAATTGCATTATAAAAATAAGAAATTTGCGAACTAATTTCTGAATTAGACGTCCATAATTGGACGAAAAATTGACTAAAAAAAGACATAAAAACGAAGAAAATCGTAACGAATTCGCAGAAAAATTCTGTTGAATTTCTAATGTCAATGGAAGCTATTTTATAGAAAAAATCGGTAGAATTATAGAAATTCCTCGATGGCAATTTTTCGTGTTTTTTTCCACTGACTTCTTCGTCTCTTACAATTTAAAAAAATAAAGCAAAAATTCTATAGAAAATATCTATACAAAATATATTCCATGAATTCCACAAATTTTCTCCTGTAATTTAAAAAAATCAACCAAAAATTCTGTACGAAATATATTCTATAAAAAGAGATAAAAACCTGCTAAATTTTTCGATGGAAGAATAAATCGATAGTTCGATATATATTCCTGACAATTTTCTTAGATTGAAAATTCTATTATTTCTATTATTCTCTAACTCTATAACTTGTATTTTTTTTCTATTCTATTATTATTCAACTCCAGAAATTTCAATAGAAATCCAATAGAATTTCCCCGCGAATTCACTGCAGCTTTTTTTTCTACGAAATTCCCGCCCGTCCCTCAACCGCACGGAGAGAAATATTCAATAAAAATTACGTATCTTTTCCGTAATTCCGTTCGAAATGTGGGTGTAGGAAATTTTACGGAACTGTCACGGATTTTTTTCGGAGCGTTCCGTAATGTTTATCTGAATCTCCTGTGAAAAATTACGATACCATCACTTAAATTTTCTGAGTCGATTCCGTAATCGTCGAGTGAATTGTGAGTTCCGTAATTTTTACTGAATATTTCTCTCCGTGCAGAGCACGAGTGCCCCCTCCCCCAACAATCGAACATGAAGAATTAAAATAAAAAAAACATCACACACTTTATTCAAACTCCTCCCCACACCCGATCTCTGCCCATAATTATCGACTCCTGATTGACGAATTGCCATCGAACGCCGGAGGATCACCAATCAGCCACCATTGGTTAGATCGATTCCGGCTCAAACTGGATAAAAGTGGAAACCACGGGTTTATATATGTAACAGGATACCCCAGGAAGACCGCCAGAAATTCGAGACTCCATCGATCACGTCAGACACCCCCAGGCCTTTGTCAGCGCGTCACCACGAGTAATTAATTCCCCAAAGGTCCATAAAATTTCAACAAAACACAAAGACCTCGAAAGGTCATTGAATGAAAACTGTTAATTCCCAATCACCGAAAAAGTCCTTCACGAGAGTGTCTCGTCATCCCGTTCTATTCGGCAGGCAAAATATTTTGATTTATTCGGCGGAAATAATTCCCCCCGGATATCACAAATCATTCGATAATTTTCGGAAACAATGACACGTTCCGTGTACTTCCCCGGTGAATATCCCTGTGCAATGCAGTATATGGAGCTATTATTCGCTCTGCGCGGCGTTATGAAAGAAAAAACATCCGTAGTCGGCGATTAAAATCAGGCTGGTTACCTTAATTATCCGTCACCCGTCAGCTATTTCCACGACTATTTGTATTTAAATAGTAATAGGGTATTTGCTACCACTCCCTCAATTTTGGGGGTTCACCAGTCGACGAAAGAATAAAAACGCACGAAACGAGTTGAATTACTCGTCTTTCTGACATACCGCATAAATGTAAATGAATAAAATAATGTAATGGCAATTCGAGCTCTCCTCAACGCCATTCTTCTTCCCAAAGTAAATAATTTACCCCAATTGTTCAAGGGAATTGTCAAGAGAAATAAAAAAAAGGAACCGAATGAAGAAGTAATTCAAGAAGTCATTAGTCGCCGATTAAAATCAGAGTGCTTACCTTAATTATCCGTCTCCCGTCAGTTATTTCCCCGACTATTCGTATTTATCCAGTAATCGAGGGTATTTGCTACTGCCTCCTCAATTTTAGGGGTTCACTATTCGACGGAAGACAATAAAAACGTGCGAAACTGGAGTTGAATTATTTTACTCGTCTTCCTGACGTAACGCATAAATGTAAATAAATAAAATAAGCAGTGGCAAATGAAAAATCGGTAATTCCGCGGCTCCTCGAGCTCTTCTCAACGTCCCTCTTCCCCTCAAAGTAAAAAATTTGCCCCGATTTTTCAAGGAAATTGTCGAGAGAAATAAAAAAACGAAGAACTGAATGGAGAAGTAATTCAAGTCGTTTTGGAGGGATTGGCGCTGTCGACTGGATTAAACTGGAGTTTTCTTTTAAGACTGATGATTTTAATTGCCATTGCGCCTTTATACGATGCCAGCCCCTACCACTCGAATTGTTTTGCGGCGAGATTGTTTCCGTCGTCGTTGTACACATTCGGTACAAGAACGAAAACATGGGGAGCTCGGGAGTGGATGATGAACGACGATTTTTAGGATTGAAATTCCTGAAAAACAGAGTGGATTCATTCACGATTACGATCTTGTGGTGATTAATGCATGACGACTCATCATTCTCGTCGTTTCAGCGATTTTTTTTTCGGTTTCTGGAAGTGATTTTTTCACTTCGATGCTTTGAATGGAGGTTTTTTTATTTTTATTTTATTGCCGTGTGACGATCCGAAAATATGTTTTGGGAAGGAATCAATGAACTGGAGTATTAGTTACGTTTATTTCCCTGAGTATTATGTAATTCTCAGTCGCATTAACTCAGAGGATAATACATTCTCGTTTTTTTAATTGATTGGTGAGTTGATTTATTCATTCGGGGGGAGCGACACGTATGAATAAAAATCGGTAGATTTATACTGGGAATTCTGTTAGCTTCTAGCCGATTCTATTCGGGAATTCCGGAAGTTGAATGCGCGTTTTTTATAGAAAATTTGGAATGGGAACTGATTTATGGAAAAAATCAGCAGAATTTTATCTTTCTATACAACTTTTTTATTGAAATATTTTCTATAGGAATTCCTCGACATGAAATTTCTCAATTTTTTCTGGGATTTTTCTTTTCTTTTGATAAAAAAAAATCAAACAAAAAAACTTGAAAAATTTGAGCCGGGGAATTTACTGGGTTTTTCTGTTTATTCTTGAGGAAATTACATTGGATTTATATTGGAAATTCTATTAGTTTTTAGCCGATTTTATCCTAAAATTCCGCGACTTTAATGCGGTTTTTTTTACAGAAAATTTCGAACAGAAACTGTTTTATCGAAAAAATCAGCAGAATTTTATTTTTCTATACAATTTTTTTTATTGAGACATTTTCAATAGGAATTCCTCGACATAAATTGTCTCACTTTTTTCTTTCAATGATTTTTTATTTCAATTATTTAATGTGCGATTTTTAATAGAAAATTTCGACATGAATTTTCTCAATTTTACTACTTTATTTATTTTCTCTCTTCATTGAAAAAAATCAAACAAAAAAACTTGAAAAATTTGAGCCGGAGAATTCGCTGGGTTTTTCTATTTATTCTTAAGAAAATTATATTCGAAATTTTATTAGCTCTTGGCCGATTTTATCTTAGAATTCCGCGACTTTAATGCGGTTTTTTTAATAGAAAATTTCGAATAGAAACTGTTTTATGGAAAAAATCAGTAGAATTTTATCTTTCTATGCAACTTTTTTTATTGAGACATTTTCTGTAGAAATTCCTCGGCATGAATTTTCTCAATTTTACTACTTTATTCATTTCCTCTTTTAATTGAAAAAAACAAACAAAAAACTCAAACAGAATCAAAATCAAACAGAAAAATTTGAGCCTAGGAATCCGCTAGGTTTTTCTACGTATTCTTTTCCCACATGACGGACAGTCAAGATCCTAATCACGTCGCGTGTCATTAAAACGAATTAATCAAACCAGAAAAATATAAAAAGGACGAACACGACTTGCGGCGAATTTCGAAGAGTTCGAAAACAAAAACCGTGGGTTTATCGGAGATTTTACGGAGTTTTCGACGATACTCGTGAAGTTGCTGTGATTGTAAAGCTCTCGTGCTTCAGCACCACGATTTTATCCTTCCCCCTAAATAGTGCTATCCGCAATCAGATCTTCATGAGTAGAATGGGGTGGTGTAGAGAGGGGGGAAAGTGGTTGAGTTGGAAAGCGCCGGTTTTGGCAGAATGTTTATACGCATTTTTGCGCTAATTGGGAGGTATGAAAAATTGGGATTGGGTCAATGGAAGTGTTCTCTGGTCAGTCTACTGTGAACAACGAACGAGGACGCGTTCACTAGGAAATTGCACTGGAAATCCTGTTATTTTTTTGTCGATTGAAATTTCGCTGTTTTCTGCGCTTTTTTCATGAAAAAATTTCCCATAAAAATTGAAATTATTCTCCATTTTATCTACTCTTGATAATAAAATCGAAAGAATTGAATTTTTAAAATCTAGGCCGAGAAATTTTTCTAAAAAATAGTCCAATTGAATAAATTGTGCAGGAAAAATAAATCGAAAAAATTCATTTGTGTTTTGCGTCAATTCTATTTAAAAAAATGCAACTTTCCGTGCGTTTTTGGATAACTACTTCTTTATAGAAAAAAGTCTGTTGATTTTTCTATACAACTCGTTCTATTGAGACTTTTTGATAACTAGGAAATTGTACTGGAAATCCTGTTATTTTTTTGTTGATTCTATTGAAATTTCGCTGTTTTCTGCGCTTTTTCCATGAAAAAATTTCCCATAAAAATTGAAATTATTCTCCATTTTATCTACTCTTAATAATACAATCGAAAGAATTGAATTTTTAAAATCTAGGCTGAGAAATTTGTCTAAAAAATAGTCCAATTAAATAAATTGTACAGAAAAAAAATATATCGAAAAATTCATTTGTGTTTTGCAACTTTCCATGCGTTTCTGGATAGATATTTCTTTATAGAAAAAAGTCTATTGATTTCTCTACTCGTTCTACAACTTGTTCTATTGATATTTTTTGATAACTAAGAAATTGTACTGGAAATCCTGTTATTTTTTGTCGATTGAAATTTCGCTGTTTTCTGTGCTTTTTTCGAGAAAAAACATCGAGATAACGTTCGAAAGATAGTACACTCGGGCCTTAGATTTTTTCTATAAGAATGCTTGGGCATCAATTTTCTTAGTTTTTTCCACTCGAATTCTGCAATGCAAAACAAAGCAAAATCCAGCGGAGAAAACTTCTAAAATTTTGCGCGCAATAATTATAATAGAAAAAAATTAAGAGAAAAATTCAAACAGAAATTCGAAATCTGTTTCCGGCATTCTATCGAATTCCAATAGAAATCCCCTAGAAACCCCATGGAATTCCAATAGAATTCCAGTAGAATTTTCTAGCGAATTCGCTAAGTTTTCTGTTGAATTTTGTCATGCATGCACTTGATTGATGAATAATTCCCATTACATAAGCGGCAATTTCTATTGCACCGAAGATAATATTAATTTTCGAGGCGAAGGACAATTGCAAGTGATACTTGACACCCCCAGAGATCGGATCATAGACGATGATGGAATTCTTGAAATTAATTGATTGACGTTGTGACGAGAAAGCCTCGTGGGGCCCCTCCCAGGCTCCAAGAAAATCGGAGATGTCGCGCTTCCTGACATCTCCAATGCGAATACTAGAAATAAAAAAACAACACATTTATCCCTGAGTCAGCAAGGGTTTGGAGATGGATAACTATCAGTTAGCGTAAAAGAACAGGAATTGAAACTGGCTTGAGCTGGTCAATGTTGGCTCGGTCCAGATTTAAAGGCGCGTTACAAGTGACTTGAGAATCCCAAACGTGTTCTTCGTCGCATACGGCGGTTACACTAATTGCCTAATTCACGGCTTTAATTGGAACGATGGCTTTAGGAACAGCTTTTCCATTCAACTGACGAGATAATTTACGGTGGGTGGAATGTTTTTGAGAACTGACAGGGGAATTTTTAATTTTTCAGAGTGAATCAGGGCTTCAATGATTGCTTCGACTTTATTCCCAAGGTTTCGAGGTAAACTCACATGTAATAAAAAAATAAACAAAATTCTATTGAAAATTATTTAAATTATTCAACTGAATTTTTATTTTCCATAGGAATTCTTGGGAATAAATTTTATTCAAGTTGTAATGACAGAAGGGGTATTCCCATGTTTTTTGAGGTAAATTCACGTGTAAAAAAATGTAATAAAAAAATTAATAAAATTTTATTGGCCTCTGCCTCAATTCTATTGAAAATTATTCAAATTGTTCAACAGTGATTTTTAATTTTCCACAGAAATTCTCAGGAATAAATTTCATTTGTCTCTCACGATAAAATCGAATGAAATTTGATCTCAAATTAAATTGAAATTGAGAACATTAAAAATTCAAACTCATCTGTCGTTTGAATTTCGCTTGAAGTTCAATCTTCGAAAAAAATCCAAATTTTTAAATAAAAATTCTTATCTCCTACGGGGATTAAATGATGAGATTAATTTCAAACATAAATTGCAGTTGTAAATACTGTATTTCATTTAATAACACAAGATTCTCCATATTCTTTAAACTATTAAAAATCAACATCATTAATTAATAGATTCACATACAGTGTCTCATTCAGAGCATTAATCCACAAACAAATTAATACGACAATTTCACTGACCCAGATTTTCCTCGATTGATCCCCCCTATGTGTTGTATTGGCTCATTCCTCCGAATGCCCAACGGGTCAATTGACTAACGAAATTCATTCTACGTCCCGGCTGGTCTGACGTTGAATAAATTATCTTCTCATGGGATTTTCCGAACAGATTATTCACGACCCTTTAGATTAAAAAAAAAATACAACACATTTTCATTCTATTTTTCTCGTTCTGCTCTGTTTTGTTCTTTCGTTTTTTTTTCTCGGAACAGAAATGTTTCGACGACACAATCCACGGACGAAAAAATTTAATAGAAAAACCTATCGAATTCGTTAGAAAATTCCATTGAATTTCTATTGAACTGTTCAATAGAACATATTCAGTAGAAAAAGTCAATAGAATTGAATATTTCTATATAAATTATTCTATTGAGATATTTTCTATAGAATTTCCTCGGCTCAAATTTTCCATGTTTTTTCGTTTGATTTTCTTGATGAGAAGAAAAGAAAAATAGAATGAAAAAAACTTGGAAAATTTGAGTCGAGCAAATTCAATAGAAAATATCTCAATAGAATAAGTTATATAGAAAAATCGACTTTTTCTATTGAATGTTTTCTATTGAACATGTCAATAGAATCAGCCAAAAACTAATAGAAAGTTTAATAGAAATTCAATTGAATTTTCTAACGAATTCGATAGGTTTTTCTGTTAAATTTTTTCGTGCGTGTCTCCACTCAAAAATACAAATCCTACAATTTTTCTACAACAGTAAAAATACATTTCCTAATCTGTGATATGTCCTGCGTATAACGTGCAGAATTTTCCAAGTAAAAAACTCTCGAAAAGCTGTGATGTGTTTGAAGTAAAAAAACAGTTTTGTGATGATAAAAAAATCTAAAACTAGTATTTAAGTACTGTACTGATACCCTTAAAAATCGGCAGTTGTTGAGAAAAACTTGGAATGCAAGAGAACAGAGCTAATCAACATCGTACATCAATTTCCCAACATTTCAGGTTTTTCTTCATTGGAAGACGAATCGCGATCTCTATCGAAAAAATATTTATTATTGTCTTGAGATCGAGCACCGTAATTTGTACTCTACCGCCTCGTGCCTTTCGAATTATCTCCTATTAACGTTTCTCTAATTCATAATTACAAATGTGGAAAAAATCAATAGAAAAATGTTGACATTCTGTTGGAATCCTGTGATAATTCTAATTTTCGCAGCCTCAGTGCGATTTTTTCACAGATATTTAGCAGAAAATATTATACAGACTTTTATTTTTCCATGGGATTTACTTATTCTCGTGAGATTTTTGCGGGAGAAACTCTTGATCATAATTTTTCCAACTATTTTCTGTATTTTTTTTTATTTCTCAATTCAAAAAATTTGAGGAAGAAGTTTTGAAGATCTATGTCCAAGAATTCTTGGGTGAAAAATGGGAAGAGAATAATTAATATCGAAAAATCAATATCCATTTACTTTCTACTAAATATCTATTCAAAATTTCATGAAATTTCAATAAAAATTTGCACGAAAATTAATAGCAGAGTTCCAATAGAAAACAGATAGTAACAAGTTTTCTATCGATTTTTCCACACCTCTGTGAACAACAATTATGGAACAATCGCCCCAGATCAGCTCACAAATCCCGATTGAAGGGAATTGCGCCGAAAAAAATCTACACCATAGCGGGATTAATGATATCTAAAAATAGAGAAATCTTGATATCATTTATCCCCGTTTTTCCTCGAATTCGACATGAAACAGACAACAATAATTGATGCCTCGAAAATAAAAATGAAAAATAATTTCTTACTAATTAAATATTTAGATAAAAAATTGAGCTCTGCATTGCAACCGTTGGTCGATGATTCCAGAGCAATTCCGAGATCACATCCCTTCACAGAATTATTCGTGACTAAAAATCTCTTGAGTCCTCTCAGAAGAATTGAATTAAATTAACCAACGAAATTGATTCAATTAAATCATTACCTAATGATAAATTTCAATTGTGAATTCAATATTTGAGGAAATTTTGGCTGCAATAGCAGGATTATTAAGAATGAACGAATATCATCATCTTTTTTCTGGAGACGTATTGAATTTGAATTTCTTCCAATTCGTGGATCACATCCTCGCAAAGATTATTCGTACCCAAAAAATTGAATTACATTATTAAATAATCCAATCAAATCAAACAATTGCACTATTCAATTCAATTAAAGAATTATCTAACGATAAACTTCACTCATAAGTTGAATATTCGTGGTATTTTTGTCTGGGATATTAGGATCATTGGATTGACCGAACGAATAATTCTTGCCAATTGCAAAAGCCCCTGGAGTCGTACTAAATTGAAATTTCTTCCAATTTCTGGCTCACATCATCTCAAAAACAATTCGCATTCCGAAAATCTCCCGAATCCTCTCAAAAAACTAAATTCGCCAGCGAAGTGGTAAAACGATTTAAGTCGACTCATCTCCAAGTTGAGTTTTTGAGGAATATTTCCGAATCTAAAGGAGATACCGAAATTTTCGTAATTACATTTGTTGTAGCACTCAATCCGCTCTCCAAAAAACGTTATTACACCAATTTCGCCATCTCCCTTAGATTCCGAGATATTGATTGAAAACTCGTCAATACTCAAAATTGGCTTATACCGTTTTCCCGCTTCGCTACTGAACTAAATTACGAAACAAAAAAATATTGAATTCAACTAAAGAATTATCTACCGACGAATTCCCCTCACACCTTAAATATTCGTGGTATTTTTGTCTGTGATATTAGGATCATTGGATTGACCGAACGAATAATTCTTGCCAATTGCAAAAGCCCCTGGAGTCGTACTAAATTGAAATTTCTTCCAATTTCTGGCTCACATCATCTCAAAAACAATTCGCATTCCGAAAATCTCCCGAATCCTCTCAAAAAACTAAATTCGCCAGCGAAGTGGTAAAACGATTTAAGTCGACTCATCTCCAAGTTGAGTTTTTGAGGAATATTTCCGAATCTAAAGGAGATACCGAAATTTTCGTAATTACATTTGTTGTAGCACTCAATCCGCTCTCCAAAAAACGTTATTACACCAATTTCGCCATCTCCCTTAGATTCCGAGATATTGATTGAAAACTCGTCAATACTCAAAATTGGCTTATACCGTTTTCCCGCTTCGCTACTGAACTAAATTACGAAACAAAAAAATATTGAATTCAACTAAAGAATTATCTACCGACGAATTCCCCTCACACCTTAAATATTCGTGGTATTTTTGTCTGTGATATTAGGATCATTGGATTGACCGAACGAATAATTCTTGCCAATTGCAAAAGCCCCTGGAGTCGTACTAAATTGAAATTTCTTCCAATTTCTGGCTCACATCATCTCAAAAACAATTCGCATTCCGAAAATCTCCCGAATCCTCTCAAAAAACTAAATTCGCCAGCGAAGTGGTAAAACGATTTAAGTCGACTCATCTCCAAGTTGAGTTTTTGAGGAATATTTCCGAATCTAAAGGAGATACCGAAATTTTCGTAATTACATTTGTTGTAGCACTCAATCCGCTCTCCAAAAAACGTTATTACACCAATTTCGCCATCTCCCTTAGATTCCGAGATATTGATTGAAAACTCGTCAATACTCAAAATTGGCTTGTACCGTTTTCCCGCTTCGCTACTGAACTAAATTACGAAACAAAAAAATATTGAATTCAACTAAAGAATTATCTACCGACAAATTCCCATCACACCTTAAATATTAGTGGTATTTTTGTCTGTGATATTAGGATCATTGAGGTTGAACGAATACTTCTTGGGATAAATGCTCCCTGGGACGCCCCGAATGTCGACGCCACTCTCCTGCCTCCTCCTAATCCTCTCCGCAACGCAGGGAAAGAACAGGTGAGGATCCACATACATCTCCTCCTGATCGCTGAAGCACCTGTAGACGTGGCTGGCGATCCACCCCAGGCCCACAGTGATGAGAAGCCCCAGGGGTGCATACCACATGTACGAGATTCTGTACAAATAAAAGAACTTCTCCTCCTCCGACTCCTTGACAAAACTCGTTAGGTTCTGGTTCGCTGCGATGGTCTGCGTCAGTGCAAGGAGGGTCTGGTCGAGGGATACCTTGACGTTGCAATTGGCTGTGGAGGTGGGCAGCTCCGGGGGCAGGGGTCGAGGCCCTCCGAAGGCGATCCCCAGGAGAAATGAGAGGGCTACAGTGGCCCCAGTGATAGCTCCCCGCTGATTCGCAGACTCGCAGAGCATCCCCAGGGTGAACAGACCCAGGAGAGGACCCCCAACGACTCCGAAGATCGTCAAACTCGCCTGGAGGACACCCCCCAGGTACTGGGCTAGGAATGCCAGCCCGATGGACGCTAGTCCAACGAGAAATGCAAATATTTTACCCAAGATTAGGCACTTCTGGGGGCTTATTTCGTTGCCTGTGCAGGCGGAGTACAGCGGCTTGATGTAATCCTCGAGGGTCATTGCTGAGAGCGAGTTCAGCGCTGCTGAGATTGTACTTAAACCAGCGCTGAATATTCCTGGGGAGTCATTGTTTGGAGTTAGAGAACAGTTTTGGCATTTTGGAATTCGTGAGGGGCAATTTTCAGGATGACATTCTCTTCTTTTTTTATTAACACATTCTATTTTTATTTCTGTTTTTATGAGGATGTTAAAACAAAAAATTGTGATAAAGCCTGATAAAGGAGAATTTAGTCATCTGCTAAATTGATCAAATGCTATTTTAGTTGATTCATCAATTCGGTGAATGCAGAAGATTTTTTTAGTTTGAGTGAGAGAACCGATTTTTGAATAAATTGAGAATAAATAGTGAATAAATATTAATATTAGGGGAGGATGGGGTGAAATGGACACTTTGGACTTTTTTTTAATTACTCATAACTCAGAAACAAATTTATCAGTTGAGCTCTGTTTAGGCTCATTACAAAGGGAAAGAAATGCTCTTTGCATTGAAAAAAAAATTTATTGGATTTCATCAACATTTCAAGCTGTCATTAACATTTTTAAAAATGTCGAAAGTATCCATTTTACCCCAACCTCCTCTAAATATTAAAATAAATAAATTTCGAATAAATTGGGTCATAATGGATTGATTTAATACAAAAAAGATGAAAAAAATGGGAAAAATACTGTGGAAAAACTGAAAAATTTAACGGGAAATTACAAATTGGAATATTTTAGTCAAATAAGTGGCATGGAAAGTTGAAAATCTACAGATTTTTACCTGCAATAAATAATCCAGGGACCCCAGGCCACTCCGACATGGTATCCATGACATAATAAGGCATCAGCATGTCAGGTTTAATATTTTGGTCCTTTATGGGATCACAGTCGTGATATTTACTGAATATAGCTAGGCCTGAGAAGCAAGTTATGACGGACAAGGCAGTGAGAATGGGCCAGTTGATCCACAGGGCAGCTCTTGCACTCTTCAAACTCCTGGGGACACATCAATATTTTACAATCAGTTGCAGAGATAGGAATCAGGATGATTCATGACTTGGGAATTGCCTCAGATGGCTTCACTCACTTGACGGTTAATAATCGTTGAACTTGAACCTGATTGACCCCGTAGAGGGACACGAACGTGCAGCCGCCGCCGATTACGAGGCTCCACCATGTGTGCCTTGTGGTTGGATCAATAGAAAAGCTGAGGAGTGGAAATTTGCCTTTCATTATGGGGAATTAATTGAGAGCTTTAATTATGCGAATTGGCTTTCAAAATATTATTATTTTTTTATTCAAATGATCCGAATTCGGTACAAAATTCTACTGGATTTCTATAAAACTTTATATTAAACAATCAATGGAATTTCATTTTTCCAAGATTTTTTGTTCAATTTTTTTAATGAAAAGAGCAGAAAAATAAAAATGAAAAAATTTTGGAAAAATTAATGTCGAGAAATTTCTATAGAAAATGTCTCAATAGAAAAAGTTGGAGACTATTTTATGAGAAATTAAATGATATCCACAAATTCAGTCAATTACTTTGAATAGCAAATTCCCTGATATTCATGAATAATAAATAAATAATAAATGAGTGACAAATAAATAATAAATGAATAATCAATAACAAAATTAATATCAATTAATTTCGTAATGTTTAACCATTGATAAAATCCAGAAAAAATGACAATTCAAAAATTAATTTAAATTAACTCACCTATCGAATTCAATTCTGCCCCTTTTTTTTATTCAAAGGATGCGCATTCGGTACAAAATTCTACTGGATTTCTATAAAACTTTCTGTTAAAAAATCAATCGAATTCCATTTTTCCAAGATTTTTTTTTCAATTTTTTTATGAAAGGAACAGAAAAATAAAAATGACAAACAATTGGAAAAATTCAGAAAATGTCTTAATAGAAAAAGTTGTAGACTATTTCATGAAAAATGAAATAATATCAATAACTAAATTAATATTAACGAAATTCGTAATGTTTAACCACTGACAAAACCCAGAAAAAATGACAATTCAAAAATTAACTTAAATTCACTCACTTATCGAATTCGATTCTGCCCCTCTGCTGAGCAATTTCCCAAATGCTTCCGAAGCCACCGGCAGCACTGGAGGCTGTGAAGATAACGAGGAGTAGCGATGCAAACATGAGAAACGCCTGGAATACATCAGTGATCAGCACAGCCTTGATTCCCCCGATGCTCGAGTAGAAGGCGCAGGCCAGACCCACTATCAGAATGCTCGCGGTTTTGGAGAGGCCAGTGGTTGCCTCGAAGGCTATTGCCGGAGCATACAGGACCACCCCTGAGTACAGCAACAGCTGAATCCACAGGACGAAACTCGCTAGGACTCGTGTTGATCGTCCAAAACGTTTCTCCAAGTACTGAAATTTATTTTTACAATTTCATTGTTGTACACTTGGATTATTGGGTTATTGACGCTAAGAATTTATAGTCCATTTGAGAAATTAGAAGAGGATATTGGAGAAATAATTACGATGTTAATTAAATCGTTATGGTGCAACTATTGACAATTTAATAAATTAATTAAAGTAATTTAACTTAAAATTAATTGTTAATAATAAATAACTGTTACAGAATTAAATTTTTTTTATGTTTAAAATATTGTTCAGGTATTGATGAAATGAATTTTATTATTGATTGTTAACAATAGGTCATTGTTATTAATTAATTGTTAAAATTAATAACATAATAATAAAAAAATCATATTAATTTTATTATGTTAATAATAAAATTATTTAATTAATTAAAATTAAATTAGTCAATAAACAATAATAATTAATTTGTAATTAACCAATTGATTAATTTAATTTTAATTAATTATATTATTAATTAGTCGTAATTATTTCTCCAATATCCCCTGACCTTCCGGAAATTAATTAATATCATGAAGACGAGAATAATCACAGAATTTATAATTTTTTAATTACAAACAGAAATCACTAGCGAAGCCGCAAAACCATAATTGATGAATCAAATTAATAAATAACGAATCAATAAAAATTAAGAACACTAGAGAGATATAGTAAAAAAAAATCTTTCAGTAGGAAATTAATTTTCGTATTGTTTCTTCAATCGTTTTTTAAATTAACTTCCCTCTTGAGTTCAACGATTATAATCGACAATTGTACCTCATAAACACTGGTTCCCTGCAGCTGATAGAAAACCGGTAAAAATCCGTAGCAGACGATCGGGGTCCCCAGCAAGTACGATAAATTAATCACGACGAATTGGGTTCCGTAGACATAATTCTCAGACGACACTCCCAGCAGTGTTATTGCCGACATGAAGGACACCATCAGGGCAATTCCGACCGGGAGAATGCCCATCGATCGATTCGCCGAGAAGTATTCCTGCGAACAACAGCGTCAATTGACTCGCGATCGCCCTTAATTGAAATACATTCACGGAAAAAAAATATTAAAAATCTCAGGTCATTATGTAGAAGATTCTATCGGAGTTCTATTGAAGTTTCCGATCATTTTTGGCCAATTTTATGAAAAATTCCGCAGCTTATCTGCACGTTTTTTTATAGAAATGTTAAATTGAAAATATTTTACAGAGAAAAATCAATACAATTCGATTTTTCTATACAATTCAATTGGGATTTTTTATGCAGAAAATCCTCGACTCAAACTTTCTGTTTTTTTAAATTTTGTTAATGAAGAGAGAAGAAATGTAGATTGGAAAAATCATAGAAAATTCAGGTCACATTCTACGCAAAAAGTTGTGTAAAAAAAATCAATAGAATTTGGTTTTTCAATTGATTTTTAAATTGAAAATATTTTACAGAAAAAAATCAATAAAATTCGATTTTTCTATACAACTTATTCAATTGGGATTTTTTTATGCGGAAATTCCTCGGCTCAAACTTTCCGAGTTTTTTAAAAATATTTTTTTAATGAAGAGAGAAGAAATATTGAAAAAATCATAAAAAGTTCAGGTCACATTCTACGCAAAAAGTTGTGTAAAAAATCAATAGAATTTGGTTTTTCTATTGATTTTTAAATTGAAAATATTTTACAGAAAAAAATCAATAAAATTCGATTTTTCTATACAACTTATTCAATTGGGATTTTTTATACAGAAAATACTGGGCTCAAACTTTCCGAGTTTTTAAAAAATATTTTGTAAATGAAGAGAGAAGAAATGTTGGAAAAATCATAGAAAGTTCAGGTCATACTCTATGAAAAAAGTTGTGTAAAAAAATCAATAGAATTTGATTTTTCTATTGATTTTCTATTGATTCTATTGATTTTTTCAACAGAATATTTTCTCATTGAACATTGAGATCTGTCTGATAACCAATAGAAATCCCGCAGAATTTTCCACCGAATTCTCTACATTTTTTCGTTAATTTTTTCCGTGGGTGTAAAATATGAGAGAATTCACCTCAATCGTCTTCTGCTTTCCCCCAGTGCATCTGTAGTACAATCCTATGCCGATGCTTATCGCCAGCATCACCGCGATTACCACGTAATCCGGCCATTGCAGCGTATGTGTGACTACCATAATTAAAATCTGAAAATCAATGGGATTACTTAGTGACGGCCTTGAAGGATTTAGAGGAATAGCCTCGAGTTTATCTAATCGCTGAGACAATACCAGCGCTACAGGGGGATATCTGGGAAGTTTATCGTTGCGATGTGACATTAATTATCAATTCATGATTACAGTATATTCAATAAGGAAGTGGTGAAATGAGAAAACCAAACAGAACGGGACAGAACAAGTGGAATTTTCACGTCATGTACAATATGACATTATATTATTAACGACTGGATGAGAATGACAAAAAATATGTTTTGTTGAAATTTTTTTATAGAAAAGGACTTTCACATTTCGAATTAAATGGGTAACATTTGAATTATTGAACCAGAACGGCTTTTTTGTCAATTAATTTCGATTGCTGTTTAATTATAATCAATGTGATAATTATAATCATTATATTGATTAGAATAACAGTGAAAATGATGAATTATTCATTGCAGAATTGATTGATCGAAGAAATCGTAAAACAAAAAAGGGAAAATTGAATTATCATTTCAATGATGAAAATGAAAAACCAATGATTAAAGACGAAATAATTTAATCATCTGAATTTTGATTGCTGTTTTATATTCCAAAGGCTATAAACCGTCAATAAAACTCACTTCACCTTCAATTTTCCCCTGTTTTGTCTCGTGTATACAAGAATTCAAGAATACAAGAATGTTTTCCCCTCACCCGAGCCTTTCGAAACTCCAAACTCCCCTGAATAGTCTCGAATAACACCTAGCGATAAATAAGGAAATTTGAATTCATGACTATTTGAATAGAACGAGCACAATTCATTTCGCAAATCAATTCATCATCTGTTGGAAAATCCAGACAACAACACATTCGAAATCTCTCCGAAGGTCAGGTCTGTTATTCCCTCGAATAAAATGAAAGAGGTGCGGCAAGATGGACACATCAGGAAGTTTTAAAAATATTAGTAACTCAGGAGTAAATTAATCAATTGATCTCAGATTGGACTTGAAAAAGCGCCTTCTTAATGAAAAAAAATCCATTTCATCAACAATTGATCAATATTTGAAATATAAAAAAATACTTAATTTAAAAAATTGAAATTCCAGACATTTTAAAAAAATATTTTTAATAAATTAATTAATTGATCTCAGACTAGAGTTAAAAAAGTGTCATTTCAATGAAAAAAAAATTCATTTCATCAACCCCTGAACCACATTTTAAACATAAAAAAAAATTTTAATTCTGAAAATCGAAATCGTGAAATGATTAAAACTGAAAATAGAGCAGACCGCGTTAGAACGCGTGAAATTCGAAAACCACAACCGATTTGAGTCTGTTATTCTCTCAAATAAAATAAAAA